GCGGAGGCTGGGAAGGCCAATAAGCGAGATGGAAGTGAGGGAGGTAAGGTGATCCATATTGGGTGGGAGAGAGGTGAGTTTGCAGCACCAAGCTATCTTGAGAGAGGAGAGGGTTGAGAGGAGGGAGAGGGACGAAGGGAGCGAGACCAGAGACCTGCAGCTGCGAATCTCGAGGTACGATAGTTTCGGCAGCTGCCCGAGAGTTTCGGGCAGGGAGTGGAGGTTTGGGCATGAGAGGATGGAGAGGGAATGGAGGGAGAGGAGGGAGTGGAGGATGGGGGGAAGTGAAGAAAGATTCTTGCAGTTTATAATGTGGAGGTGGTTTAGGGATATGCAGTGGGAGAGAGGTGGGAGACTGGGAAGTTTTGGGCACCCTTGGATTTCGAAGGACTGAAGTTGTGACAACTGCCCAAAGGACTCGGGCAGCTCGACGAGTTTGCACAGACAAGTGAGCCTTAGCGTCTTCAGAGCTGTCAGCTGCCCGAAATCTCTGGGCAGGGATATCAAATTTCCGCATGATGACAGCTCCAGGGATTGGAGAGAGGAGAGGTTGGGGAATGAATCGGGTAGATGGGTTAACGCCGGGCAGTTTCGAATTTCCAGGTGCTGGAGAGAAGTGAGCTGCCCGAAATCTTCAGGCAGGGATGTGAGAGAATTGCATTGGTGTATGTGGAGGGTTTGGAGGGAGGGAGAGAGGAGGGGCAGGGAGGGTGGTAGATTTTGGAGGCTCCAGCAGGAGGCGAGGGTAATGTGTTGAAGCGAGGGTAAATGCCCCAACCACGGAGGGAGAGAGGTGCGTGTGCTGCTGAGTTTCAGGTACTTGAGTAAAGCTAAGGGCTTGCTGATCGTGTCATCTGCGTTGTCATCTGCGTTGTCATCTGCACTGGGATCTGCATCGCTGCTGCTGCTGCCACTATCACCACTGCTGTTGTTGCTGCTGTCGACCCTACCACCAGTGCCACCACTGCTGTTGCTGCTCCCACGACGACCACCCTCACTGCTGCTGCTGCCACTGCCACCGCTGTGACTCCAGCTGCTGCTGCTGCTGCTGCCGCCAGTGCCAGTGCCACTACTGCTGCTGCCAACAGTCCCACCATCCCCCCTACCCATCCTTTCCTCTGGAATCTGCGGCAGCCGAGCGAAAATGCTACTGCTGCTTTCAGCCCCCCCAGCGCCGCTGCTGCCACTGCTGCTGCTGTTGCCGCCACTGCCACTGCTGCTGCCACTGCTGCCACTGCTGCCACTGCTGCTGCCACCACTGCCACTGCTGCTGCCACTGCTGCCACTGCTGCTGCCACCACTGCCACCGCTGCTACTGCTGCTACTGCTGCTCCCACTGCGGCTGCTACTGCTGCTGCTGCTGCCACCACTGACAGCGGCCCTCACAGCCTGTCTCCTGTCCGGCCTCTCCCTCGTAGCCTCTGGATTCTGCGGCAGCCCAGCGAACATGTGTCCATGGTCAAACTCCACATCCAGCGACTCGATACAAGATAAACTCAATAACGAGGACGGCAGCGACGCGATTCTGTCACACCCCGATATAGTCACCTCCCTTAGAGTCACCATCCGCTGGAAGCAGTCCGGGAGGGGCGCGAGCCTGGCGCATTCTGAGACTCTAAGTCGTTGTAACGAGCAGAGGCCGCTAATAGACGCCGGCAGGTGCATCAGCTGCTTGCATGTGACTAAAACGAGGGAAGTGAGCCTGCTGAGGTTCCCCAGGCTGGCAGGGAGGGCTTCCACCCCGCAGGACTGTATAAGCAGGTCTTTTAAGGAGGTAAGTGAGCCTAAGCTCTCCGGAAGGGAGATTAACTCCGAAGCGCCACGTAAGCGAAGGGTTTCTAGAGACGGTAGGTTGGAGAACAGTTCGTCAGGAAGGCTCCGGAAATCGCGCTCCGCGTTAATATCTAAGATGCTGAGCTGTCGCAGGCTGCTGACCTCGTCGGGGAGACTGGAGACGTTGCTGACGTGGAGCTGACGTATGCATTCCAAGCGGGGAAGCGCGGGAGAGAGGTAGCTGATGTGATCAGATCCTGACACGTGGAGAACATCTAAGGCGGGGGCAGGCGCGTCATAGGGCGGAAGCATAGGGCGCGGAAGAAGCGCATCAGAACCTCCCCGCGAAAGACTTCCCTCCGCGGATCTGGCGCGCGGAGCTGAGGATGCTTCCGCGGCTTCCGCAATGGCGAAAGCGGCGGAAGCGGCGGTATCACCGACCCAAGTACCGGAGGCGGAAGTGATCAGGCGGAGATGGGTGAGCGCGCGGCAGCGACAGAGCGCGTCCAGCAGGGCTGCGGAGATCGCTGGCAGTGCGGCGAAATCCGCGGAGGACGACTCCGCGCGTTGCTCCTCCTCCGCCATTCGGAAAGAAGGCTGTTCCGCCACGCGCAGGGAGCGGATTTGCGGGCAAGCAGCGGGTAATCCGCGGAGTAGCGAGTCAACGCCGGAGTCAATGGAGACAAGCGAGTCAACGCAGTCAGCCGAGTCAACGCAGTCAAGAGAGTCAACGGCGTCAACGACGGCGCCCCGCGGGAGGTCCAGAAACGTGAGGTAGGGCAGACGGGAAACCGCGCGGAGGATCTGCGTGGGCGACATGGCGCGCGGAGCGGAGAAGGCGGGGGAGAGCTTGCGCCAGCGCTTGCAGACCAGCGCGGGAGGGGATGTGGAATCCGGGGCGGACTCCGAATGGGAAGGGGAGGCGGAAGAGGGGGAATAGCGAGCGGAGGATCTGGCGAAGTCAGGGGGATGGTGAGCGGAAGGGGCCGCTTGCGGAGTGCAGTGCGCGGAAAGCACGACTTGGCGGAGCGGAGGGCGGAGGGGGGGGCGGAGGGAGAGGAGGAGGATGTGCGCGAGCAGCTCGTCTGGTAGTCTGTTGATCGGCGGAAGGCTGTCGGCGTTCGGCGAGGCCGGGACGGCGGAGACGAGTAACGAATCCATGCTTAACGGGTCCGTGCTTGGCGAATCCATGCTAATCCAGTCCCGGAGCTTCGAAAGAACAGGCCGGGAACGAGTAAACGGCGAAGAGACTTTTGAGTCGACTCAAAAGTCACCTCGAATCCATGCTAATCCAGTCCATGTGTTCCAGTCCCGGAGCTTCGAAAGAGCAGGCCGGGAACGAGTAAACGGCGACGAGATGGTGAAGGACACTAGGACGGGCGCTGGCCGAAACACGGTAGGCCGCGAAGCATAGTAGCCTTTGAGCCCGATTCTCGTAGTCACCTACAGCAATACGGTAGGCCGCGACGCACGAGACTGGCCGTTACAGCTTTCGAAGCGCTGGTGACATGATCCACTCCTTACATGCACGACGACCGAAGAAAGGATCTGCCAGTTGCTTGCTACGGTATCATACGCCGCACCGAGTCCGACAGCCTCATTCCAGACTCCGAAGGGTTTTGCGGGCGAACCTAGAGGGCGAAATGGACGATGAATGCCTGGACCATGAATGCCTGACATCCCTAGCCAGAACATCTCAGGGAAGGGAGGCATGAATTTGTGCGTTTTTGTGTTACTGGTGTTTCTTCAGGTTCGTGGTGGCAGCAGGACCACGCTTTGGAGGAACTCCCAAAGCAACCACGAGCAGGGTGGTACAGTACAGTGCAAGCCTGGCTTGGCGAGTTCCCTTGGTTGTTCCGGCTGGTACACCTGAAGCTCGACACTGGAACACTGTTTGCGAGTCGCGCTGAATGTATTTGGTTGGGAATGGCCATCAGGGAGAGGCCAATCGGGACTGACTCGAGCACGGCATTTTGTGGACACCAGGAGTAGCGGGAAAAAATGCTTCTTGATGCTCGCCTACATTCCTTGGTATTTTTCCCATTTCTACTCCCTGTTCAGTTTGTAGTTTGTCGTGTGATCCCCGTTCTCAAAGTGTACCCTGACTTTTATCAGACGGGCCGCGAGCAATATTCTTGCTTCGGCATCCTCGGTTCGCACACTCAGCTCGTGTCAGAAAAATACTGCCGTGTTTCTCGTGTAAATCCTCCGCGTGACGAGGTTCTTTGCATACGCCCGAAAGACATCAGGGCAGTTTCCTCAAGTCTCAAAAGTCGGCCATCCCAGGGTTGGGGAGATGCTGCGGGGCGGGGTTAGGGCGGAGGGTAGCGCGGCGGTGGCGGGCGGGAGAGGGACTTGCGGAGCGGATGCAAGGGGAGGAGGTTGGGGAAGGGTGGGGGAGGTTGGGGACAGGATTTGGAAACTAGCGTTTGTAGCGAAGTGAGGTCTCGGTCAGGGCTTACTTTTGGCTTTAGGCCACCCTTAGAAATTCGGGTTCATATGAGTCAAGCCCTATATTTTCAGAATTCTTATAAGCCCCGCCCTTAGACGTGTGGGGGCCAGCTGAATTTTTCGGCCTTTACTCGCTGGAGGAATAGCTGTTTCGTGAAGGTAGACACTCTACTACAGAAGTAGACAGGAGGGTGGAACACGTGGGGTGAGGGTGGAGCCGAGGCAGGAGCGCCTGCTCCTACATGGCTACTTCACTACTAGTGCACTCATCCATCACTCAAAATCTGAAGGGGTCATCCAGGCTCGACCCTTAATCTCAAGGGCTACAAAACCTCCAACTCTTAATGTTTTGGACTGTGATGAAAAATGCCTTTTAAACGACCCAAATTCAGGGCAGTAACCCTTGAAACATAGGCCCTGGTCTCGGTGTCGTCTTTCCAGGTGCCCTAATGCACTGTACGGTAGCTGCTCAGATAGTGGCATACAAGTCATATTCCCTTAGCACCCGGGGGGCGACGAGGCAGATTTCCCTTTTAAAGAATACTCGCCGTACGGTAGGGGCAACGTGGACTATGGAATTCCCCAGGAAATGAAGCGTTGTTTTTTGTGTACTGTGCATGGGCGCCTTGACTGGCGTATGCAGAGACTTAGTAAACATCGCCACGTCGCAAGCCTCTTCACCTGTGTATCAACTCAGCGTTTCAAGAGAATGTCAGAATTGATTCTGCGCTTCCTTGGTGCGTTCGTATTGGTTGTGGGTGGAATAATTTTGTGTGTTGTCTCTCCCGTGGTGCTTTCAAAACATTGCAAACTGTGTGTGCTCATAAAATACATAAACCCAATAACAAGAGGAGCAGCCTAGAGCTTGAACTCTACCCTAGGTGGTTCATAGGTGTAGGCCTCAGTATTGATGGGTGCTCCAAGGAGAGAGAGCTTTAGGAAGGCCCCGATCAGGTCAACCTGGTGGGGAGATACGTGTGCAGTGATGGGAGTGGCAAGAAAATCGTGTTTTCTTTTAGTCTAAAAACAAAGCACAACACGCAAGGGGTCTCACGTTAGGTTTCTGCTCTCCTGTACTTGGCTGCCCATCCTGTGAGCTCCTCACCTCCTCACCCTTCCCCACTCATACATGCATCATCCAGCAAACAAATAGAGGCCCAGACTCACCTCGAAGTTGGTCTGGGACACCGTCTTGCGGCTCTGCCTGTACTTGGCCACCCACTTCTTCATCTCCTCGTCCTGCTCCAGCTTCGCCTCAACCGTCTCCAGATCGCGCCCCAGGAACAGAGCCAGGTTCACCGTCTGCCGCGGCGAGAGCCCCAGGCGGGCGAACTTCTCCTTGATCTCTGCTGCACTCAGCTGCTCCCAGTCGGGCACCCTCCCTGCTGGGTCGGGCCCGTCGGCGTCGGCACGACCAAGCTGCTTGTCAAAGAACCCCCACTGAGAGAGGATGGATGGGAGGGATGGGAGAGGGGCCAGGAGGAGGGAAAGAGCAACAGGGGCATTAGAAAGCGCCTGAGAAACAGAGTCAGGGTCGCTGTCTGGCACAGCGTGAGCCCTAGGCGGGAAAACTTCTCCATGATCTCGCCTGCACTCAGTTGCTCCCAATCCGGCACCCTCCCTGCCGGGTCGGGCTGCTCAGCGTCGGCACTATTGAGCTGCTTGTCGAAAAAACCCTATTGGGAGCAGGGGAGGGGGGGGATGGAAGGGACGGGAAGGGACGGGGGAGGGGGGAAACGAGGGAGAGAGCAGTGGGAGCATTGGATGGTGCCTAAGGAGCAGCATTAGAGTCAGGAGTTGCTGCAGGCACAGCAAGACGAAGGAAGGCGGTGACGAGTGGGGGTAGGGTGGTGGTCGGATGGGAGGGGAGGAGAAGGAGGAAGGAATGGGAGGAGGTCAGCAGCAAGAGGTAAAGCGAGCAGCACAACTACTTCGGCCGAAATCGAGAGCAGAACAGCCCCAGCAATACCTGCCCCAGCAGTACCTGCCCCAGCAATACCTGCCTCAGCAGTACCTGCCCCAGCAGTACCTGCCCCAGCAATACCTGCCCCAACAGTACCTGCCCCGGGGAGCCGATAGCGAAGTACAGGTTGAGTCCATCCTTGGGATCTCCTCCCGCCTTGCGCGTGGCAGCTGCCAGGAAGGTGGTCTTCACTGCGGCTTGGGCTGCACGGAGGGAAACGGGGGAGGAAACAAGGTGGGGGGGAGGGGGGAGGAAGCAAGTTGGGGGGAGGGGGAAAGAAGAACAGGGGGGGGAGGAGTAAGGGTGTGTGTGTGTGTAGATTTGCTGCTGCCAGAGTGGCAATCTTCAAGACAGATTGGGCTGTGTGGAAGCTAATGTGGGGTGATGGGGTGGAGGGTAATCCCGAGAGGGGGGGGGGGGGGGACGACAGGTGCCTCAGTTCTGAAGTCTCAAATCTCATCTCCGAATTGGATCAGATTGGCGTCCTAATTTTTCTCGCCCACTCGAGTGCCTTCACCCATTCCAGCAGCCAAAGCGCAACCTTGACCGTACAACACAGACCACAGGTGCCTAAGTCCTCAAGTCTCACCTCCGAACTGGATCAGATCGGCGTATGAGAGAGGGCCGCCCTTAGCGCCCTCGTCCACGCGCGCCTTCACCCCTTCCAGCAGCTGCAGGGCCGCCTTGAGGCCCTTGTTCTCGGAGCGAGAGATCTCCTCGCTGGGAGGGGGTGGGGGGGGAGGGTCGGGGGTGGAAGAGAGATGGTGTTGTTTGAGTCAACTCGAGAAGTACTTAGAGACAGCAGCTGCAGGGCCGCCTTGAGACCTTGTTCTCGGGACAAGAGAGCTCCACGCTGCAACGCCTAGGAGGGAGAGGAGTGGGAGAGGTTTTATGATTCGGCTGGGAGACGAAACTCTTCTTTAGGCGGTGGAGAGGAGGGGCGTTGAACGGGTAGAGGGCAGGAGAGAAGGGTTGCCAAAACAATTCGCATGGCGACTCATGGAATGGGATGAACGCCATGAGTGGCACGAATAGCAGGAATGGCAGGAGAAGCATGGTGTGGCAGGAGTGGAATCGCATGGTGGCATGGCATGGTGGCATGGCATGGTGGCATGGCATGGTGGCATGGCATGGTGGCATGGCATGGTGGAATGGCGTGGTGGAATCGCATGGTGGCATGGCATGGTAGAATGGCACAGTGGAATGGCATGGTGTGGCAGGAGTGGCAGGAGTGGCAGGAATGGTGTGGTACCTGAATCGGATGGAGCCGTTGGCCCCTCCTGTCTTAGTCTCCTGTAGCGTAGAGAACGGGAGGAAAGCAGAGAGGAGGGAAACGCACGGGGAACTAGGCGTGAAGCTGAAGGAGTCAGCGTTACCAGCTGTTACGCCCTGGTAACAGAACAGCCAGGACACGTTACGCTGGTTTAACAGAACTCTCAAAAAAAGGAGTCAACGTTACCAGCAGTTGAGCCTTGGTAACAGAGCAGTCATGATGTGTTTCAATGGGCGGAAAGGCATGTCATGCTCTTCCCATGCTCTTTATTCATGCGTTGCTCCACGCCCCTGGGCACACGTGGCACACACCTTGTCATACGTGGCGGCGTCATTGAGGGCCAATCGCAGGATGTCAGGCACAAGTTCCTTGTTGGCCTGCCACGTGGAAGATGGGTGTTGGTGACGAAAGAGAGGAGGGCGGTGGAGGGATTGGAAGGAGAAGAAGAAAAAAGAAGAAAAGAAAGAGACAGAGAAAGAGAGTGCCATACAATTGTTTCCAGCGCGGGTAGGACGAATGAGAGAGTGGGGAAGTAGAGGAGGGAAAGGGACGACGAGCAGCAGAGAGGGATAGCCATAATGTCCGATAAGAGCTAGAGTGGCTTACGCTGATGGCGTTGAAAGCAGAGAGGGTTATGTGTCATGATGGATGACGGGGAAGAGCTAGGGGAGGTGGGCGGCTTACACTGTTGGTGTTGAACAGGTCCTACTTGAGGCCCGTAGGATAAAAGTAGTGATTTGAGACGTCTCAAAGCAGAGAGGGATATGACATGATAGATCTAGGGTGTGTAGGTGGCTTACACTGATGGTGTTAAACAGGTCCTCCTTGAGGCGCACTGATTGTGTCACATTCGTTACATGTCACAAGGGGGGACAGAAGAGGACGGAAAGAAGCACGGGGCAAGCCATTGAAGCAGCAAGAACGGCGGAAGGTGCAGGCCAGTCCATTGTGATATAGTGAATTTGGTGGCATTGAAGCAGCCTGAGCGGCGGAAGGTCGTTTGGTGCCTGGCCCAAAGCATTAAATAGTGAATCTGTGATTCTCACTCTCATTAATGGGCATTAGCTGCGGTATTGCTATCATGACACTCACTCAGGTAGGGCGTTATGCAATAATAACACTCATTCAGCTGGGGTGTTAAGCAGCAATAACACTCACGCAGGTAACCCGCCCGCTGGTTGCGCTCAGGTAGCGGTAACAGTCATCAACTGTAACAGCAATTGTAACACTGTAGCACGCACGCAATGAGTATTTCCAACACCCAGCACTCACGCAGGTAAGCCGCCCGCTGGTTGCGCTGAACAATATTTGCGGCAAGGGCGGGGTCAGACGACGTCAACAAAGGCACCCACAGAGGGCTCTGAGGGGAGACGAGGTAGGATGGGGAACGAAAGAAGGGAAGGGGGAAAGGGGAGCGAGGGAAGAGATAATGAAAGAGGAGAGCGATGGAAGCGGACAAGGAGAAGCAGATAACGACTACGAGAGGGGAAGAGGGGCGTCGGGTGGGGAAAAGAGAAGGGTGCAGTCCGGTGCAGGGCGAAGCAGTGGAAGAGAGAGAGTAGCTGGCGGAAGGATGGCCATTTCCAGAGCTTACATCACAACCGATGTCATCTACTCACAGAAGCGGCAGTGAGAGCGGTGAGCAGCGCTTGGCGGCGGGGGAGGGCGAGAGGCGCGGAGTCCGAGGAGGAAGAATCGGAGGATGCCTGGCAGCGAACTGCTGCACGCTGGAAAGGGGGAAGACACGAAAGACAAGACAAGGGAGACACAGGGAACAAGCCGAGAGATTCAAGAGGAGCGGCGGGAGAGGAGAGAGCGGCGGGGGTAAAGAGGCAGGGTGGGAGGACAGAGCAGCTCTCTCAGAGCTGTACGAAGCGGCTCTCGTGCAAGGTGTACGAGTACATATTAGTATGTATATACGTGTGTGTGTTTATATATTTATGCATACACTCATTGGTACCTGGAAGCTCTTCACTGCTGCAGTCTTGGCAGTGCCTGTATGCAGAACCACACGATGGCATGTCAAGGGAAAAAGAGGCATGGAATAAGAACGGCACTCAGGGGCGTCGACAGAGCATGACATGCAGGCCCATGGCATGACATGCAGGTCCATGGCATGACATGCAGGCCCATGGCATGACATGCAGGTCCATGGCATGACATGCAGGTCCATGGCATGACATGCAGGCCCATGGCATAACATGCAGGCCCATGGCATGACACGCAGGTCCATGGCATGACATGCAGGTCCATGGCATGACATGCAGGTCCATGGCATGACATGCAGGTCCATGGCATGACATGGGACGACAAACACAAAACACACGCAATAGGTGAGGCCAGGAACCTGGAGCACCGGGTTTTGAGATGTCTCAAAGCACAGAGTACACAAAACAATTGAGGTCAGAAATGAGGAGCACCGGAAACATGGGCTCCAAATGAGTGAAGGGTTTTCAGTTCCAACCTACTACATATGTTGCATTGACAGATTCCCCATTCTCCCGTATCTCCAGGCGTTTATGGAATCCCCATACCTCCATCCCCGTTATGCACTCACCGGCAAGGGCCTTGCGCTGCGCGAAGGCGGAGGACTCCGCGGACGAGAGAAGCGAAGCCTGAGGAAGGGAGGAACGGGAGGAGGGGGGAGGGAAAATATGGACGGGAAATAGCGATACGAGTGGGAGTAATGGGAGGGAAGGAGGAAGAATAGGAGGCGGCAGGGAGTGGCAATGCGGATTGCCATGATCGCGGAGAATGGGAGGAATGGCGAATACACAGAGAGTTCGGAAAATGCTTATAATGAAAGCGTATTGTGAGCATAAGAGGCCACAACGCACATGGCACAGGAGGCCGAGAAGAAAATTACTAACCGTGGATACAGACGACATTGCGAGGGAAGCCATGGCTACTAGGACTGCAGCGAGCGAGGCGGGAGAAACTAGGAAAATGTCAGGAAATTCTAGCCAAAATTAAATTTCTGCACAGGTATATGAACGTCCGCGGAGGGATCTCTTCTGATGGTGGTTGCAGGTTCCCTGAATCCGTAAAAATGTCCAGTTCCAGAAATTTCAGCGCTCACAGTGCTGAAGCTGAGTCAGCAGCCGAGGATCCGGGAGATTGATGGAATTTAATTGGCTGTGAGAATCAAGAACGAGGGTTGGGGTTGGTTGAGGGAGAGGCTGGGCTGCCACGAGAGCAGCTCGAGGATCTTGAGTTTCTCCACGTGTTGAGAGATGGCAGCGCCAGCGAGACACACTCGATTGAAAAGCCCCGCGCGACAATAATTTTATGTTACGTGCGTCCTACTTAGATGATGAGTGATATACTAATGTTGCACACAGTAGAGCTACTGGTACCATTCTTTATAGGCAAAGACGAAACTTTTCAATTGCGTGTCTGAGTTGAAAAAACACAAATTTATGTATCTGTGAGATTTTTATTATTATTTCTGAATTATTATTTCCGTAAAACTACACGCTTAGTTTGAACCTTCCTATTGTTCTCTCGAGAGACGTTTACACTTTTCTGGTATAGTAGACCTTTTGCTTCTTCTAGATTGCACGTCTGTCACACTCCCTTATAGAGGATATGCAACCGACAACAGCATCAAATTCAGCTCGGTATTTCCGAGAAACGGCACCACCAACCTTGAGAATAGCGACTCACCACCACTGAATAAGGAGGCGTGCCCGATTACCTCACCACATGTCTTCACCATAGTCAGGCAGCTCGTCCTCACATCTCGGCCTTATCCGTCGCTGCAGCAGCAGTCACGTAGTTCCGCTTTACGGTTGACAAGATTAAAGGGCATCTGGTAATGACGTTGCCATAGACCCCTCCGTTCACAGTGCAGACTTATCCAAGTAAACCGTTGCAGAGAGTATTTATGTCAGCACGGTTTCTAAAATCGGCATTCTTCAGCGACTGAGTCTTAGGTTCCAACCTAGACACACTTCTAGAAGGCCAAGACAGTTCACCTTTTCAAACCCTAAGTACTCGCGCCTACCAATGGTGCTGCGCTTTACGCACGTAGGTCCTCGCTTCTGCAAGCCGTAGCGGCGATGGCGACCGTTGAGAATCCATCTTTTGCGACAACATAGTAACTCGTCGCACACACCAGTATGGAGAGTAGCACTAAGGAGAGCAGCAGTAGCATCAGCACTGGCAGTAGCAGCAGCACCGTCAGTCGCGGAGGCAGCCTCTGGTTCCTACAACCCGCCCCTCCGAATAGCTACGTACTCGACGACTCAGCGCCTACCAAATCCCGCGGAGCAGCCAAGCACGCGCAACAGAATGCGGGGAAGAGCGCGGGCGGTGGCGGAAGGGGGCTCTTCCCCTTTCCCCGGCCAAGATCTGGTAGCCCGCTTGCGCCCTGGGGAGGGGGAGGCGGCGGCGGAGGGATAGGGGGAGGCGGAGGGGGGTCGGAGACCTGGATGCGCGGATTCAGCGGGAAGTTGGGGCGGTATCGGCGGTGCATGCTGCTGGTCGGGGGAGTGACGTTAGTGAATGGGATTCTGTCGGTGATCCTACTGGAGCTGATTATAAACGGTGCGAGGTCGTGCCCTGGGGGTAACTGCCACCTGCACATGACTGAAGCTGATGCCCAGCTGAAGAACTATGACATGTGAGTTGTCTGTTGATAGCTTGAGGGACTGATGAATGATGGGGGGGGATGACAAGCAAGATCGTGTTTGGTTCATTGCCACCTGCATGCATGTGACTGAAGCTGATGCTCAGCTGAAGAACGATCAGCTCAGCTGATGCATGTGAGTCGGATGACATTAGGTGTGAGTTGAGTATTTATGGCATGACATGATACATGAGAGTCGGATGACATTAGGTGTGAGTTGAGTATTTATGGCATGACATGATACATGAGAGTCGGATGACATTAGGTGTGAGTTGAGTATTTATGGCATGACATGATACATGAGAGTCGGATGACATTAGGTGTGAGTTGAGTATTTATGGCATGACATGATACATGAGAGTCGGATGACATTAGGTGTGAGTTGAGTATTTATGGCATGACATGATACATGAGAGTCGGATGACATTAGGTGTGAGTTGAGTATTTATGGCATGACATGATACATGAGAGTCGGATGACATTAGGTGTGAGTTGAGTATTTATGGCATGACATGATACATGAGAGTCGGATGACATTAGGTGTGAGTTGAGTATTTATGGCATGACATGATACATGCGAGTCGGATGACATTAGGTGTGAGTTGAGAATTTATGACATGACATGATACAATGAGCCCAGCTTTCGCCCTCTTGAGATTTCCCTCCCGTTCCTCTTATCGGTCATTTCTCACACCATCCGTCTCCCACTCCCTTCCCCCCCCCCCTTTGCTCTTCCCCTTCCCCCCCATCACCCCCATCAAAAATAGACCCTTCCCCCCCATCACCTCTCCCCACCGTCTGATCTTCCTTTCCGTTCCTCACGTTCCGCCCACCCAAGTCTCAAGACTCCTCTGCCCCCCGCCTCCCACTTCATCCATCAACTCCAACCTCCCACTTCCCTGTGTCCCCCCTATCCGCCATACCACATCCCTTGTTACTTCTGCTTTTCAGTCGACTCAAAAGAAATGCCCCCCGCTTCGCACTTCAGCCTTCAACTCCATCTTCCCACTTCCCCGTGTCCCCCCTATCCGCCATACCCCTTGTTACTCCTGCTTTTGAATCGACTCAAAAGCAATGCCCCCCGCCTTCCACTGCAGCCTTCAACCCCGTCTTCCCACTTCCCCGTGTCCCCCATCTTCCACTGAATCCTTGTGAGAGATTCTTCAGAATTCCAAAAAATCTCACAACCACTTCAGCCTTCATCCCCATCCTCCCAGTTCCCCATGTCCCCCTTAGCCGCCATACCATTCGTTACTCAGACAGATTTTGGACTCCTTCCCCCCCCCCTCTCCCCCTTCCCCCTCCTTCCCCCCTCCCCTCCCCCTCCCCTCCCCCTCTTCCCTTCCCCGCTCCCCCTTCTATCCCGGCCCACCCCTCCTTCCCCACTCTCCCATACCAGCCATTCTACCCGCCAGCTGTCGTCCCGCAGGGCCCAGTTCCTCTCGGACGATGCTGACGTGGACAGTGATGTGGACAGCGAAGCTGACGTGGACGAAGGACAAGTGGTGGATATAGAGCTTCCCTCCCTCTCCTCCTCCTTTTCCTCCTCCTCCTCGTTATTGTCATCCTCGAAAGCAGGAGGGAGAGGAGGGAAGGCAGGGAGGGAAGGGAAGCAAGGGAGCGAAGGACAACGAGGGAAGGTAGAGAAGGGAAGGAAAAGTGGCGCACAGGGAAGACAGGGGGGTGCGGGAGGGAGCGGCAGGGCCAAGCCTAAGTCCAGAGAGGGTGCAAGAGATGCAGGGGGAGAAACAGCAAGCCATGTGGGGAAGGGCAATGTGCTAAAAGGAAAGCTTGGTACCTTTAGGTCTTCCTCCACTCGATCCTCCTCCTCCTCCGCTTCCTTCCGTGCATCAGATGAAACTGACGATGGAGCCCCAGATGAAACTGCAGATGAAACCCCGGAGGTTTCATCTTCCGTGTCATCTGACTCGCGGTTCAGCTTCTTTGCGCATCTAGATGCTGCAGCAGCTCACCTCTCCACTCCTCGCAAAACTGGCTCAAAGAAAACCTCTCGTGGTTCCTCTCCCCTCACCAAACCTCGTGTCACCACACCTGTTGTCACAAAACCTCGTGTCACCACACCTGTTGTCACGAAACCTCGTGTCACCACACCTGTTGTCACCCAATCTCTTGTCACCACACCTGTTGTCACCAAACCTCGTTATACCACGCCTGCTGTTACCACAACCGCTGTAACCACTCCTGCTGTCACTCCAACCATCCTGAAAAGCACGGAGAACCTTGTTCCTGCTGCTACTGACACCAGGAGCACTCCCAAAGCCATCAGTGAAACTCCCTCTGCTGTCAGTAACAATCTCAAAAGCTCTAGTAGCACTCCCACAACCGTTTCTGTCACCCCCACGGACACCACTAGCACACCCACAGCTGTCACTAGCACCCCCGGCACTGCCATCAGCACCGCCACCCCTGCAGGGAATGGTGCTGCTGCTGCTGAGGCTGATGCTGCTGCTTCTGCTGCTGCTGCTGTTGCTGGTGGTGAATCTGCCTCTGCTGTTAATGCTGGTGTTGCTGCTGGTGCCGATGTTGGTGCTGGTGCTAGTGCTCATGCTGATGCTGCTGCTGATGCTACTGCCAGCACCGCTGATGCTGATTCTGAAGCTGCTGGTGATTCTGCCTCTGCCACTAATGCTGGTGCTGCTGCTGCTGTAGATGTTGGTGCTGGCGCTGATGCTGATGCTAATGCTGCTGCTGCTGCTGCTGCTGCTGCTGCTGATGCTGTCTCTGTCGCTGATTCTGCTGCTCATTCTCATACGGTTAGTGGTGACCAAGAGGGAAAGGATTCAGGCAGTGATCCCGGCACAGGCAGCAATGGTGCTGGCAGCAGCAGCAGCAGCAGCAGCGCCAGCAGAAGCAGCAGCAGCAATGGTGGGGAAGGTAGCAGTGAAATCGAGATTAGCAGTGGGGAAGATAGCAGTGAGCGCACGAGCAGCAGCAGGGAGGATAGCAGTAACGACAAGAGCAGCAGCAGCAGCAGCAGCAGCAGCAGCAGCAGCAGCAGTAGGGATGAAAGTGTCTCTTTCACCTCTCAATCCTCCTCAACCTCCCTTCCTGCCCACTCATCTCCCCGTCTCATCCCCTCTCCTGCCCTCTCCTCTCCATCCGAACCCCACGCTTCCCAGCGTGTTCCTGAAACTCAGAGGCAAGATACTGCCAAGCAAGACCAACAGCCTGCCGCCCAGCAACAGCAGTCTGCCGCCCAGCAGCAGCAGTCTGCCGCCCAGCAGCAACGTGCTGCCACTCAAGAGAAGCAGGCTGCTGCTCAGCAGCAGAAGCCTGCCACCCAAGAAAAGCAGACTCGTTCTCAGCAGCAGAGCAACTATGTTGTCCAGCAACAGCAGGCTGCCGCCCAGCCGAGGGAAACTGCCGGCCAGCAGCAAGAGAGTGCCGCCCAAGAGCAAACCACTGCCAACCAGGCTGCTGCCCAGGCTGGCCCCAGGACCCGCATCCCCAAGCCTTTCTACGAACGGATGAGTGACAGGTGGCACGTAACGCCGTTACCGCGAGTGCACGGCGCGTACCTGTTACAACAAAGGGAGGACTACTCCAGCGTGTTACTGGTACAGGATATCTGCTACCTGTTTATGGCGGGTAAAGGGGTGCACCATAACACGTACACAGGCGTGTGGTTTGTGAGGGAGGCGATGAGTGAGAATAGCTCGGAGTTGGTCGGGCCGTACTCGCCTGATTGGAAGAAGAGGAAGGAGAGCAGGAGAGAGGGAGGAGGGGGGGGAGGAGGGGTTGCTAGGCAGAGGCGAAGGCTTCTTTCGTCGCAGGAAAATGAGCAGGAGGAGGAGGGGGGAGAGGGAGATAGGATGCACGTAGATCATTCAACAGATGAGGAATCATTCCAAGGCGCAAGGGGGAGGAGGAGGCTGCTAGGCAGAGGAGGCAGGGATGGTGGTGCCAGTACTGCTGGTGCTGTTGGCAGCGGGGTTGGCAGCTGGTTCAGCCGTTTCGTGGGGCTGAAGCAAGGAAGGGAAGGAGCAGGAGGGTTCATGGGAACGGGCCACTACCGTGACCTATCAAAGCTGGACCTAGGCAAGAGCATGTGCTCTCTTTTCAAACCCAGTAAAGACCTAGATACCACCCATCTCTTCTCGGACTCGCACGACCTCCCTATACTGAAGCAGCGGCAGAATAAGACCTACGGGCGGTTTTTGGGGCACCCTGCTCTCGCGCAGTATATCGCTGAGAGCAGCTCGACTGCCCGGAAAAAACTGAAGAAGAACAATCCGAACGATTTCCGGCGGCGGGTGGGGATAGTGGGGCGGTACGACACGCACATCGGGCATTTCGGCGAGTCGGTGGCAGCGATGTGGGAAGTTTCCCAGCACTTTCCAAAGGAGGGCCCGTTTGGGGAGGACGAGGAGGCTGAGTGGGGAGATGCGAAGGTGGGCGGGGCGCGGGAATTGGGGGAGAAGTGGAGCGAGAGGGAGAGGTCGAGGAGGAGGCAGAGGTGGAAGAGGAGAGAGAAGGAGGGAGCGGAGCTGACTCTTTTCTTTCCGAGTGAGAAGACGATCCGGAGCAAATGGACGGCTGGGATCGCGCAGATGCTGTTTGGCCCGGCGTCGGAGATGCTGGCCGGGCATAGGGAGGGGCGACCCCTGTGCTTCGACCAGGTGGCGTTTGTGCTGAATTCCCGGCACTTGAACTCCTCTGCGCAGGGGTTTAGGGAGGACGCGTGGGGACTGGCAGAGGTGACGTCGCGGGTGTTTAAGAGGCGGGAAGAGAACGGGGTGGTTGGGGATGGGAACGGGGATTTGGAGGAGGAGGAGGAAGAGGAGATGAGGGAAGAAGAGCTGGAGAAGCAGCGTCGAGAGACGGCGGTGGAGGCGGAGGCGGCTACTGGGACCATTGACCGCGAAGAGGAGGAGGAGAGGGAGAAGGAGAGGGAGAGGAGATTCCGTGAGGAGGTGATTCAGCGAGAGAGGAGGCACGCGCTGGCGCGAGTGATCATACGGCAGGGGGACGAGGTGCTGTTCTCGGCCCTGCGGGGGTACGACCCCGAGAGGAAGCTGGAGGTGACGGTGGTGGAGCGCGAGCAGCAGCGCGTGGTGAGCAACATGGGCGCCGTGGCGTGGCAGGTGAAGGACCTGTTTCCGCGCCAAGCCACCAGCCAGTATCGGTTGGCCGAGTCCCCACTGCTCGAGCAGATGGCGCTGTTTCAGGTGAGACGGAGGGCTTTTTCAGGTGGTTTTTCAGGAGCACTGCTGTTTCCGGCAAGATGCTGCAGTTTCAGGTGCTGTTTCAGGTAGGAGGGGCACTGTTTCAGGTTTGTTGAAGTTCCTCTAGTCTCCTTGGGGGAGGAAGCTGGAGGTGACGGTGGTGGAAGGGGAGCAGCAGCGTCGCTGGGTGGTTTTTTGGCGCCCCAAAATCCGCGTGAACTGAGTCGTTTTTTTAGGTGCCTCAAAAATCTCACCAGAGAAGAGAAGGGGAGGAAGCTGAAGGTGACGGTGGTGGAACGGGAGCAGCAGCGCTGGGTGGGCAACCTGGTCACGGCAGCGTGCGTCCACCTTCCTACCCTCGAAGTCCACCTTTCTCTCCCTACTGTGTCCCTCCCTCCCCTCCCCCCAGCACACGGTGCTCCTGATCACCATGCACATCGCCACATGTTGTCGGTGATTATTTTAGAATTCTAAAAAAACACGGCGCCACCCTCAGCAACCTTCTCTTCCTGCCTTTTCGCACCCTCTCCCCCTCCTGTGCCCCCTTGTGCCCCGCGCTCTCCTCACCTCCCTCCCTCCCCCCAGCACACGGCGCTCCTGATCAGCATGCACGGCGCCACCCTCAGCAACATCATCTTCCTGCCTCCAGGCAGCACTGTGCTCGAGCTCTTCCCCCTCAAATTCCACTCCGACGCCTACAAGAACCTCGCCCTTCGCAACGGAATCAACTACTTCTCGTGGGAAAACTCGCACCTGGAGGCGTCTGCCTACACCGACAATTGCTTAGCTAAGGGCGGGTGGGAGAATCTAAGCGACCAGGAGTGCAAGCAAGTGCGGGCGTGTTTCCTGTGTGCGAGGGACCACTCGATCACGACTGTGAATATGGAGGAGTTGGATAAGGTGCTGCTGAAGGTGCAGCGAGCTGTCAGGAAGTTTGTGCACGAGGAGAGCTTGAAGAAACTGCATGGGAGCGCATTGGCTACAGTCTAGGCTGATCAGTATAGCAGCAGTTGCAGCATAGGCTGATCATTATAGCAGCGGTTGCAGCATGAGCTGTTGCAGCGGCTGCTGCTGCTGCTGTTGCAGGTGCAGCGAGCAGTGAGGAAGTTTGTGCACGAGGAGAGGATTTTTTAGGCGCCTCAAAAAGTTTATGCACGAGGAGAGCCTGAAACGGCTGCATGGGGTTGCTGTAGCAGCTGTGTAAGGGGCGTGTGGTCATGAATCATGGCTGGGAACTTGGAGGAGTTGGATAAGGTGCTGCTGGAGGTGCAACGAGCAGTTAGGAAGTTCGTGCACGAGGAGAGCTTGAAGAGGCTGCATGGGGATGTGGCAGCTGCTGCTGCTGCTGCGTAGGCTGCTGATGTACACAGTACATTGCAGGGGCTGCTCTCTTCAAGGGACCTTAACTAGAGGAAGCTCTTGCATGAGGAGAGTTTGCGAAGGCTGCATGCATGGGGGTGCAGGGGCGGCTGCACAGCGTGATTTTCAGAGCATCAGGTATTGCATTAGGGTGTTACTGTGGCAGGGGGTTGCTGCTGTGGGTGCAGCAAGCAGTGAGGATGTTTCTGCGTGATGAGCGTTTTCATTGAAACAGCTGCAGGGGAGTGCAGGGGCTGCTGCATGAGCGGTTTGCTCACTCCCGTGATCAGGGTGCTGCTGCTACATCGGCTGCTACTGTGCAGGGGATAGGTACTCTTTTTTACGTGCCTCAAAGTTAGGGTTTAGTAGGTACCGCAGCTTCTTCCCTGTGAGCCGTTGGTTGGTAGGTTTGGTATGGTGGTAGCCGTCTGTCAAAATGCTGTCTCTGCTGCAATAACACCACTGCAGCAGGCTATCTGGCAAATCATACCTTTTGCTCTGAATTGTGTGCGGCTGTGCTGTGTCCTCGCAGGGCGATTCAGGGGTGTTCATAACGTTAGGTAGGAACCATGAGCTTCTTAGAGAGTGTCTCATAAATACATCAATCTTCTTGAGACGCCTCAGAACAGAACTCTGCTACCTGGCGATTTGGCAAATCATTACTGGTCTGAAGTGCATGCTGTGCTGTGCTGTGTCTTCACATCACATTGTGAATCGTGATGCAGGGTAGTTCCTCACAATTCCAACGTGCCTACTACCAGCAGGAATCATGAGGGAGAGGAATGGGACATGGGGGGACACGTGGAAATCAGCATTACCCTTTGCAGAGCCCCAGACAACCGCAGAAAGAGGATGCAGTACCTTCGCACCAAGCTTCAGTCACCACCGAGCTTCAGCTGGTGATGCTGCTGGTACCGGTACCTTGCATGGTTCCATCCGCTCCAAAGGCGCTATTGGCACCAGCCATTTGATTGAAGCCCACCACTGCTATTTCTCCATTCCCTCTTTCCCCCAACTTTCCTACCTCCCCACCCATCCCAACCACTTAACACACCTATGGTATGTATTACCCCTCACTCCCGCCCACCCAGTTCGTCCCTCCCCTAGCCCCCCGATCCAACAGGCAGGAGTATGAAGAAAAAGCCATGATACTGCATCCATATACATATACAAATAGGAGTCAAAATTGTGGGGGGTTGGGAAAATTGGTTGGAACAGAGACACCCCCCGGGTCACCAGCGTGAGATGACAGCTGGTAAGCTAAGCTGATTCCCGTTCCGCTCTCCGTCCGTCCTAATCTCTGTACCAACGGATACTTAGGAGGAGCATGACATGAGCTACGCGATTTCGCGTACGCGTCATTAAGTCGTCGACTATCGGCGGGTCGGTAACAGCCAGGAGAACTAGATTCTTGGACCGTTCTAAACGATACTTCTTGGCGCTATGCGATAGCTGCGATGACGGTTGGCGCTTCTCGCGGCTCGTCGCCATCTCTTCGCATGACCACGGTTACGTCAACGCCATTTTCGCTGTCTCTCCGCAAAACTACAGCCTCTAGTCGCGCGGGCCCATCGCGACTACCAGCCTCGACATCACTGGTTTCGCGACTCTCTTCGTTCACGAAAACCGTGACGATCCGCTCCCCAGCCTCCACGGCTTCGCTCAGTCTTCGCCGCGCGTTTCGCAATTCCTCGTCATCATTTTGTAACGGCTTTTCGCATGCGTCGCCGGCCGCTACCGAATCGGGACGAAGGTCTTTCCGGCAAATCGGGCAGGTGCTTTTAGAGGACAGCCATAGGTCGATGCAGTCCGCGTGAAAGCGGTGGCCGCACGGCGGCAGCAGCTTGATACGTTCACCTTCGTCATAATCACCCAGACACACGGCGCACTCGCGTAGACACGCGTTATCTTCGTCCAGGGTGACAACCACGTGATGAGCGGGATTGGTGACGGAAATGGCGGCGCAATTGTCGGTCTCGCCAGCCAAATCAATGGATTCCGAGTCGCCGTCAGCAACAACAACCGTTGTGACAGGCTGAACCTGTTTGTGCAATTCTTGCGACTCGGAGTGCGACACGAGGTTTTCCGTGAGTTCCGCTGCCGCCGCTGCCGATTTTTCCGAGCTGTAGATCATAACAGGGAAGGAACGAATCAGCGACGCGTCGAGGCCCGCAGCTGCAGCGCATTTCGCGGAATTGTTGCTCCCGCCGATGCGAACCCAGACGCGATGCGGCGGCTGCGGGTTCGGTAGGTCGCCGCCTATTGGTTGGTGACATTTGAACCGTCGCATGAGGTAGACGAGGAGCGAGATGATGACGAAGACGAGGACGCATGCGCCGACGGCTGCGGCGAAAGTGACGGGGGAGAACGTGGCTGTCGTGGAGGGCGGCCCTGTCGGTATTCCCAAGGTCGACGCGTTTGCTGGAGAATTGACCGAGCTGGTACTGGTGCTGGTGCTCGTTGCTGCTGCTTCGAGTGCGAAGTGTGATGGCGTAGAAGCCATAGTTTGCCGCCAAATGAGAACGAACAGACAAGCGAGATCGTCTTTCAAGAAGCGCCAAGGCTCGCTTGAAGTTGAAAGTTAGTTCTGCCGCTGCTTCCGAGCAGCTAATTCATATCAACACCGAGAAAGGCTTTCTCTAATGACAGTGGTAACACAATTTCTCGGAAGCGAAACCACAAGAAGAGCCCGCGCTTCTGCCACAAGCGGTGAATTACCAGATATGTCTGGGGAATGGAATGCTCCAGGCACTGGAACTAGTGGCAGTCGAGGGTTCAACCAACGCCAGTGGGACTTGGGTGTTGACAAACGGAATGTGGTGGGGAGGTGGAGTGGGAAGAGACAAACCTTCTTAGCCTCACTTAACCGTACTTAAACAGATAGAAACGCTTTGAAATAGCCTTCACTGTCTTGTACCGTTCCTCCCCACCACCAACCGTCCGGGCCAACCAATTCTGTTGCCTGACTGTACGGGCTTTCGCTGCATTGGTGGTTCATTTTTTCTGTCATCTATCAAATGGAGTTGGCTCTTGCTTTTCGCTACTCCATCATCACACCACTCCTACACCATTGGGATGCCCGTTATGCTGCCCCTCAAGAAATCCCAAGGCGCTTTCGAGGCGCGGAGGGCGCACAGCATTGCGCTGCGCGGAGGCTGCTACCTGACCAGAGAATGAGATGGGGCAGCCAAGTCGTTTTGCGAACAACCCTGATGGTCGAGCGACACTCGCGAAAGCAAAAAAAACGAATGCCACACTCCAAAGTCAGATGCGACAAAGGATGTAACACACCACGTCGCTGAGGTAGCAAAAGCGAGGCAAGGAGATTCGGCCGCCTTCTGTGGATGGTCTGACTCAACAGCCACTTCAACGAAGTCTCGGATTGGCTGCAAATCTTGCGACGAATACATCTCATTGGTGAGTTCTCAAATCCACGTTGATGGATTCTAGACCACTTCCAGCGTGTGGCGGCTGTGGGGCTTGCTTTCAATTGCGCCGCAGCCGCGAAAAGACGACTTCTGAAAAGTCGGGAAGTCAGCGATGCGGCACTATGCACCACACCTTATTAGGAGCTGATAAGTGATCGCAACGAGTGGAGGAAGTGCGCAAGAGCAACCCTCCGCAAAACCAAAGGTCCCAGTTATTTCGGGCCTTGCCACGTGATTCTTATCACGTCGACATCCGCATTCAGGACCTCACGGTTGTGTTTCCCGTGGAATCGCACAGCCAATGAACTAACAGCCATATGGTTCACCGAATCTACCACGTGGAATGCGCATTCGTTTCCAGGTCCAGGCTCCAACCCGTCGAACGAACAGCTGTGTTGTTTGCCAAATCTATCATGAGCGAAACATTTGAAGGGTTACACGACATCGCCAGGGTTCTCATACACCCTTTCAACAAGGAACAAACAAACAGACATCCTGTTAATTTCTCATTTAGTGTACTATGCACCAACACTGATGAATTCCTCATTCATAGCAGTAGTAGTTGACATGACTTTTAAGAAGCAAAATCTGCTTGATAGCACCTCCGTTTCACATAGTTCAAGTGCAGGGCATGCATATAGACAGATACTGGTTGTAATCCCCCAATTGCATGCAATTTACAACCACCTCAAGGGAGCAGATTGGTCACAGGATTGCTCCTTGCAGCTTCAACTAGGGCATTGGCCAAGTCAGACAGCCATGGAACGTTCGCCGATCCCACTGCACATATTTAAAAAAGGGCAACAATGTGCCAAAATTTTAAGGCAAATGCAACAAATCCTGAACTGTGGTTGGTTATCAAACTTACAGGCAGCTTGGGGGAGAGCTGTGATGCCTTCACGAATTGCAGACGCAAGAGAGAGGAGGGATTGGGGGGTGGGAATGCCTGAATCAGGCAAGGGAAAGTAGGGTCGATAGGGATGCAAGAAAAGCAGGAACATATCGTCAGAGTGCTCGGAGAGGAACACCACATCTCTGAACCCGGACGAATGAGAAAACAAACACACCCTGAGTTTGGGGTTTCACTGGTTCTACCACATCACACCGTTCCTCCATTCCCAATCAAAGGTAATGACGGGGGGGACAGCATGGGGAGAACACCAAACAGAGAAGAAAGAATAACAGGCATGGCCAGAAGAGAGCGTCTTACCAAGACTGGGCTGTGTTTTGGGCTGTGTTTTGGGCTGTGTTTTGGGCTGTATTTTGACCTCCCTACAAACATACCAAGATTGGGCTGCACAGGAAGCCGAGGAGGCTCGGGAATCAGCGAGCCAAGGAAGGGGATGCTCCGAGCCAAGTCGATAGGTACGGCCTGGGGAATGAGGGCGACGGGAGCAGAGGGGACAGGGGGGAAGTTGGGCAGTGGGGCGAGAGAAAGTGGGAGGGGGGGAAGGGCCGGACAAGGGGGGGGGGGGGGAGGGGGGGAGGAGGCACCTTGCAATTCGGTTTCCTGCTATCCACTCACCACGAGACGGCCAGCAATAATGGAAACGTCGTCACCACTGCCAACAGACAGCCGTAGCTGGTAGTACTGACCCGGATCCCACAGAATATTCACTAGTGCTCCTCCCCACTTACTAGGCTTCGTTTGATAACTCTAGTAACTACGCCGCTTACCACTAGTCGGCCGGCAAAGGAGGAAACGTCAGAACCACTGCCCGCGGACAGCCGCAGCTGGTACTGACTGGGGTCCCTCAGAATATTCACGAGCGCCGCACCCGGCACAGGCACAGCTCCCCACAACCACCCTGACCCCCTGCCCAGGGCCCCCTGTGCTGCTCCTACAGCCGCAGCTACAGGGTTCGACTCGGCTCCAGACAAACCCCTCCTTGGCGCTCCAGCCACAGCCCCAGCTGCGCCTGCCCCAGCTGCGCCTGCCCCAGCTGCGTCTGCCCCAGCTGTGCCTGCCCCAGCTGCGTCTGACCCAGCTGCGCCTGCCCCAGCTGCGTCTGCCCCAGCTGCGTCTACCCCAGCTGCGCCTGCCCCAGCTGCCCCAGTTGCCCCTGCTGTCCCTGCTGTCCCTCCTGGGGCACCTGAAGCTCCACCCAATCCCGCCATTGCACCTGCTACGGCTGCTGCCGCTGCAGCTAAGGGGTCTGACGGTCGAGTGGAGGAGGAGGAGGTGGCTGCAGCAGCAGCAGGGTCTAGGGGTGGAAAGGAGAGCAGAGACGAGCCCGCTGCTGCTAGGGGATTCAGGGGTTGAAGGGCGGAGGAGGAGGCAGATGCGGCACGGGTAGCGGAGGCAGCAGCAGGAGGGGTGGAATTGACAGCCATCCCCATGAGCGGAAGAACGAGACGAGGGGACGATCCTGGGAGGGAAGGGGGAAGCGGGGGCGGGGGTGGGGGATTGGGAGAAGGGGGGGGGGGGATTAGGGGGGAGTGGAGTGGGTGAGTTCGTGTCATTCCCGTCTTTGTATGCATGAGGCAGCAGCGGAGGGGTGGAATTGGCAGCGATCCCCATGAGCGGAAGAACGAGACAAGGGGAAGAGCCTACGAGGGGAGGTGGGAGAGGGGACATAAGGGGGGGGGGGCGGGGACGGGGGTGGGGATGGGGGTGGGGGTAGGAAGGGGGATGGAGAGGAGGGGGGGAATAGGGTAAGGGGGGGGAGGGTGGGGGGCCAAGCTTTTGCCCGTGCACATGTTTGTATGCATGAAAGCAGCAGCGACAGGGGTGGAACCGGCAGCAGTCGAACGTTCTAGAACTAGTCAGGACTCTTGTGCAGCGGCGTGACCACTGAGCATATCACATTGAGTGTTACACAGTAACTCACCATTGAGCATGTCCCCCACAGTGTAGATCCCAGCCTGCACGTTCTCCCCCGCCCCTTGCGCCCAGGGAAGAGCGAATCCGACTGTGCCATTGGCTGCATTCAGGAGCAGCGTGACCACTGAGGCGCCGCCACCTGGCAGAGCCGATGCGCTATTGATACCGGCCGCGTTAGATGCGTTACTGGGCCTAGCACCAGTTGCGCCAGGAGTGGGAGTGGTGGTGGTAGGATTGGGAGCGGTGGAGGTGGGGAGAAGAATGGGCGTGAGGTTGGCCTGAAGGCCGCCTAAGAGAGGAGGCTGGAAGGGCGAGGCGAAGGGGGTCGGAGGGGAGGACGAGGGAGAGGACGACGAGAGGGGGATGGAGGAGGGCGGAGAGGAGGTAAGGGGGGAGGAGGTAGATGGGCGGATGGGGGGCTGCTGCTGACCGGGTGTGGGCTGCTGCGCGTCTGCAGGAACGGAGGGGCGGAAAGAGGGAGCATGAGAGGGGAGAGGGAGGAATGGGGGAGTATGGATGGACGAGGCGGAATGGGGAATGGAAGGAATGGGCGCAGAGCAGGCAGGAGAGGCTAAGGGAGGTGTGGGTGGTGTAGGTGGTATGCGAGCTGCGGGGAGGTGTGGGTGGTGTAGGTGGTATGCGAGCTGCGGGGAAACAAGAGAAATAAGCGAGGGAGAAAGAAAGAGCGGTGAGACGACAGGAAATTGGGTTTCCTCACCAGCAGCGATGAGGAGGAAGAGAGCCACGAAGACCACCGCTGCAGTAGCACGGAACGGAAGTGAAGGCCGCGTCGCCATCGTTTCCACCCAGCAGATCGCAGAGATTTGAAACTCGCAGAGATAAGCACAGTGGATGTGCACACTGGATCTCTGGAGATAAGCACACGCGGTTTTGAGGTCTCCAGGGGACGAGGCGGCAGGCAGTGCTCGTCAGACGCCGGTGAATCAGAGTGCCTTGGCACGGGTCAGTGTCTTTGAATGGCGGACTCTGCTTGAGTGGCAGGAAGATCGCCAGTCAATGTCGATGCAAGCGTCGCTGCTCGATTAACGCACTGAGACTCCTCAGCCTCACGCTCCGCTTAAGTAGTCACTGAGAGCAGAAGCTGACTGCGCCTCGGCCTGCCAAGCTAGCAAGTGGTTCCACCGTCGAACGCTCATGAGGAACATTGACGGTCGGTGTGCCAGCCCTGACGGCTAGAGTGTTTTGACCGTCAGAGGGCGGCAATCAGTCGGACGGACCGACTGGCCTGTCACGGGTCAGATGTGCTTTGGTGACCGGCTGTCCCTGTGGCGACCGGCTGTCCCTCTGGCGGTCAGATATGTCCTTTGGCGACGTGGCGATTGGTCAAACGACTCGTCGCATAGAGGATCTGTCGGTCTGGCTGTCGGATCTGTCGTAGAGTAACGTCTCTCAGTCGCACTGACTGACTGTCGCACTGACTGACTGTCGCACTGACTGCTGGTCTGTCTGTCGGATCTGTCGTAAAGTAACGTCTCTCAGTCGCACTGACTGTCGCCTTGTCTGTCAGATCTGATTCGTCTGCCTGCTTTCGAGTCTGCGAGAGTGCTTTCGAGAGCCTGCCAGTCTCTGCCTTCCTGCCCGCATAAGCGGCCTGGCGAGTCACCACCGTGATCGGCTGACCGACAGCGAGACGACGGTCAGTCAATCATCGCCGGCACTCCTGGACAGGGTCAATCGATTTGACCGATCTGCTCTAGTGACGGCAAACCGACCGACCGGCAAACCGACCAGCACTCGAAGCAGCCGTCAAAAGGGCAGACTAGTTCAACCGTCAAGTTGCCCCCTGTTTTTGAGATATGTGTTCTCAAAAACACACCGCCAGTCTCATCACCGTGCTTCGAGTGCGTCGATTGACCTTCGACCGGCTGGCACTCGAAGCAGCCGTCAGCTCTTGGGACGAGTCGTCGGGAGTCGTGACGGGTCGATTACGAGTAGACGAGCAAACGGACACTTCATGCGCCTGTCGCGCCTGTCGTGCCTGTCGCGCCTGGCTCAACGAAGTGTCATCTTGTCGCCGAAAACGATCAACAGCGAATCTCGAGGGACCGCCCGAGCAACGCGGTGCCCTATCGACCCTCGTCATTCGCCCCGCCCGCTGGCATCATAACGTTTCCATCACGCCACGCGAGGCGAATGGAGTAGCGAGTCATGAGGAAAAACCGAGGAAAACCGAGGAAATGAGTCCCAGATCCTGGGCCTCGACTCCTGACTGCTCGCCGGCAAAACCGAGGAAATGAGTCCCAGGTCCTGGGCCTCGAGTCCTGACTGCTCGCCGGAAAAACCGAGGAAATGAGTCCCAGGTCCTGGGCCTCGACGCCTGACTGCTCGCCGGAAAAACCGAGGAAATGAGTCCCAGGTCCTGGGCCTCGACGCCTGACTGCTCGCCGGCAAAACCGAGGAAATGAGTCCCAGGTCCTGGGCCTCGAGTCCTGACTGCTCGCCGGAAAAACCGAGGAAATGAGTCCCAGGTCCTGGGCCTCGAGTCCTGACTGCTCGCCGGAAAAACCGAGGAAATGAGTCCCAGGTCCTGGGCCTCGACGCCTGACTACTCGCCGGCAAAACCGAGGAAATGAGTCCCAGGTCCTGGGCCTCGACTCCTGACTGCTCGCCGGCAAAACCGAGGAAATGAGTCCCGGATTCACCCGCGTTTCCCAATCCTCTGCGCCTTTCCTCGGTTTTGCCGCCAGACGCGTGCTGCGTGGATCTACAGGGACAAACGTCAGCAAGGCAGTGCATGCGAGGTGCGTCGATGCACACACAGTACACGCAGGTGTGGATGCCATGGCTGTCGCACAGTCGGAACTTCTGAGGCGACTAATCTTCCTGCCTGCTATGTTTTGACTGGAGTGCAATTAGTCACTGGGCGAGCGGGCTTGGCTTCGAGAGAGTGTGCTATCCTCGTTACAAACCAATGCTGTTCCCAACACACAGCCGTACCGAGAGAGCTATCCTAGTCAGTTACCTACGATGCCGCACACATGCAAGACCATCTACGAGCAATCTTGGTAGCTTGCCCAAGGAATATAAGACATCACTCAGAGAGAAACACTGGTTTGAAATAGATTGTGTTACGTATGTGACCAATAACCGCCTGGTGCTGCTCCTGTCTGTACAATTACACTTCTTGTGCTGCCCTCTCCCTAGCCTGCTAGGGGTTCCACCAATTTCCCTGACCTGCACATGCCATATGCCATGGTATAATGGGTACACCTGCCATCCAAGGCACTGCCAGAACCGGTAGGTTTGGAGGGGTGGCAGGTTCATTTCGGCACAAAGCATCTTCTGGTGATGGGCATCGGCACAACTTTCTGTTCCTTGGATGCGTAAAATCTTGCACTTGTCAACAGACACTGCCCTGCTGTAATGATCCGCACTTGGTAGGCCCCTGAAGTGGTTGAACTTTAACACATAAAACATATAAAAAGGCACAAAAAGGGAGAACAACAAAAGCACAAACGGTGGGAAAAGAAGGGGCAAATGGTAATAACTGAAATGAGTTTTCACCAAGGGGTGGCTCAACGCATCTGTTCTCGATGAGTTCAATACCTGTAGTGGCGACAACAACAGCGATGACAGACGTTCACCAGGGAACAAGCAAGCAACGGAACAAAAGCACAGCACAGAATGGGAAGAGACAGGCTCAAAACCCCCAAAACTGTAGTATGGGATGAAGTGGTAAAGACTAAGGGACCAAGGTGAAAGTGGGGGCGGAAGAGACGAGGGTGTGCCAGGGGAGGGGGGAGAAGGAGGAGGAGGGGGATGGGGAAGAATGGAGAGGGAGGGGGTGGGATCGGGACGAAGGAATTATGCAAGTAGAGCAAGAGGAAACAAGTCAAGGGGGTCAGGTCAAAGCAGTGCTCAGGAGAGAGAGCTAACCTGTGACATCAGATGATGCCCAGTCCTTTTCGCCTGTGACATCAGGACAGCACCCCACTCCCTTCCTTGCTTGCTGAGAAGACTGTCTGCCTGTGAATGGTTCCAACTTCCACTTGAGTGCTAAGCCAAGCCCTCACGCTTGCTCCAAGAGCCCATCAGAAGCAGCCCGGTGACTTTTGAGTCGACTCAGAAGTCAAGCCCTCACGCTTGCTCCGTCCCAAGGCCCATCAAACGCAGTCCGCCCGACAGCCAGTCAATCCGTCCGTCGATCCTCCAGCCAGCGAGTCAGTCAGAATATTCTGTCAGTCTCAGACAGCTACAGAGCAGGTCAGTCAGTGAGCAGTTCAGTCAGTCAGGTCTGTCAGCCAGTCAGTCGGCCCAGTCAGCATTCAGTCAGACAACCTCAGGGTACATACGCTCAAACCCTGCCTCTGCTATGAAAAAGATCCTCATTTTGTCAAAGTTCTGAGTCACAATCCGTGTTGCACTGCTCACTTACATCCCCTCATCTCCCCTCCTGCCCCTCAAAGCGGTCAGTGATGTCCATGATGGGGGGGCATTCATGCGAGCCTTGCTTAGAGGCGGCTCACTCCATCCCCTCATCTCCCCTCCTGCCCCTCAAAGCCGTCAGTGATGTCAACGCGGGTCTTGCTTTGCTTTGAGGCAGCTCAAGCCACGTTCCTGATAGCACTCATCTCCCACCATGCCCCTCCATCCCCTCATCTGCCCTCCTGCCCCTCGATCTGGTCCATGATGTCAACGCGGGTCTTGCTTTAAGGTGGCTCAAGCCACGTTCCAAATGGCGCTCATCTCCCTCCATGCCCCCTCCACCCCTTCATCTGCCCTCCTGCCCCTCGATGCGGTCAATGAGGTCAACGCGGGTCTTCCTCCTCCACCCCTTCATCACTGAAACCAGGTTGATCAGCGATATCACCTGCGCCCGGGAATACTCCTGGAAGCGGGCACAAAGAGAGATCACGGATGGAGGAAGAGAACAGTTTTAGCCAACCAGCTCTGGTGAAAGAGGTCAACATGATTCTTCCTCCTCCACCCCTTCACACTGCAGCCAGGTTGATCAGCAAGACAATCTGAGCCCGGGAATACTCCTGAAAGACAGGAGCAAAGGAGCGCTCCTTCGCTCCTTTGCTCAGTCAGCACCAATCCATGATTGAAATTGGAAGGCGATTCATCAGAATATTTCCAAAAGCACCTAGTGGTGAGCACCAATCGATGCATGCTTGATCTTGGGGGAAAGCACAATGCTCGAGCAGATGAACCCAGGACTACAACGTATGGGCATTTGAAGGGGGGACGCTAGCCCAATAATCACATTTGGGTGGTGCTGTTATGAGCTTACTCACAGGATGAGTGAGATGGTTACATCACAACTGGTATGGGTGATTATTTGATTACTTACATGATGGCCGAGAGCTCAGTGTTGAGAAAAGAAGGAAATCACGCGGGTATTGGCTCATACACGTACAGGGTTACGCACAGGGTGGTTATGATGGTTACAGCATGGCTGGCATGATAGGTTACCCGGTTACTTACAGGATGGCTAAGAGCCCAGTAGAGGTACTCTGTCTCTGGCAGGTAGAATGCCTGCAGGGGAAGGAGTGGTCATTTGGACAGTATAAGGAGCAAATATTTAGTTGTTACGCCTTGCGTTGGGGTGAGAGCGGGAGAAATGACTAGAACTGATGAAAGGGGACCAGCCCTGCTGCGTGCCATGGGATGGTTGGAGTATGACAAAATTCACTATCATTGCACATGTTTCATATGGCATGTTCCATGGCTTATGAAGATATCTTTGAACTCCCACACTAAGTGGGAAAATTCGCTAGGGTCCCCCAGCGTTTTGCGTAAATTCGTACGCGTAAATTCGCGTTTGCGAATTTAGCTGAAATTCACGAAACGCTGGGGGGAAATTTTTGGGGCAGCCCAGACAAAAAAACACGAATCTATCTTCGTGATTCACGACGACACGGCGAAGCCATCCGTGGCCTCGCCAATTCGCGATTCCAACTTTTGACCCCCCAAGCATGCTTCCAACCCCTCCCAAGCTCCCAACTGCATCAAACCCCGCATCTAGAAAACCAAACCCATCACGCATCTCACGCTACTCTACCCAGACCAAACCAAACCCATCTCACGCTACTCATCACGCACCACACAACTTACGCAACCCTATCACACATTCCACGCTACTCTACCAGAGGTAGCGCTAACCTAATCCCTCCGTGTCTTAGCTAGTTGATCAAGTTTAAGCACAGACTTGAGCTTACCGCACGAAAATCCGAGCTGCAATGTTGAACCTCCCAATCAGGGTGCTGCTAGTGAGTGAGGACGCGACAGGCGATGTATCAGGTTGAACTTTGAAAAGCAATATTTATTTTGTGCTAAAACGTTTTTGCTTGCTTGCTTGAAAAGTGCTGCGCTAACACCCCCCACGCCCCCAATACCCAGGAACCGTTTTTTTGCCTGCCCGGGCAATTTTTTCCTGCCCGGGCTGAACGACTTTCCCAACGAATTTAAAATGGAGCCCTGGCGTATGGGCGAATTTACGCCAGCCTAGATTCGCTAGCGAATTTACGTGGAACGCGAATTTCCCACTTAGCTCCCACATACATCTCTAATGAGACCTGCAAGAACCCGTGTACATATATATATACATATATATATATATATATGTATGTATATATATATACAATTTTCCTCCTTCAGGGTTCTTGCAGGCCATGCATCCACCTCACCCATGAAACAGGCCTTGCGAGAGGCTTTTCAGAACTCTGAGAAAGCTCCTTGGCCACAGAAACGCGCTGCACCGCAGTGCATGTATGTACTATGGATGCAGGTGTAGCACTTGCATTGTACACACTGGGCAATGATTCACGCAAGTAACCATGGTACTCGTTACGATATGGTACTACCTACAGTTGTAACAACCTGCATTGCCATCAGTTGGTCATGGGAAACTTCACGTAAAAGGTATTATTAAAGTCTCACCTTGATGTAGTTGTCAACTATTTGCATGTCTGGTCGGCGCCCTGTGAGCTGCTGCAAGCCGTTGATCAGAGTCTGCACGGGGTGAGAGGGGGAAGGGGGGTTGGGTGGGGAGGGAAATGGGAGTTGGGGGAGGGGGGAGGGTAATGGTTGATGGGCTCTCAGTGACTTGAGTCGTCTCAAAATGCCATGTGAGCTGCTGCAAGCGGTTGATGAGAGTCAGCAAGGTTGTAAAGAGGGTGGGAATGACGGGAGAGGGGGAGGTGAGGGAGGGGATGGGGGGAACAGGGGGAGGAGAGTAATGGGGGGGGGGGGGGGGGGGGAGGGTGGACATTTTACATTATTAGTGACCAATAAGGTGCTGTAAAGTGAATCACAGGACCTTGTTGCGCACAAAATCACCATGGGAGTACGATGGGTTGGGGAGAATTGGTTTTTGAGAATTCTCAAAAACCAATTCAACTGGCATGAAACCTTAACAGAAGTTATGGCACCGCCGCTCTTACACTATCGTGCCTGTCACACACAGCACCAGCCCATACCTCGTATCGCAGCTTACAATATCTTGTCGTGCAGATACCTGTAGGTCGAGAGACATGAGCGCCCGCCCCTCGTTAGAGCACTAAACGAGCGCTGTATGACAAATTTGATTTGGGAAAATCCCCTATTCCCTCTCCCTCTTTTTTGTCAAATACCTGTAGGTCGAGAGACATGAGCGCCCGCCCCTCGTTAGAGCACCGCTTGACGCGTGAAAAGCCCTCCACAAGCACATCTGCCACTGCCTCCAGTGCAAACTGCACCAGCTGCTGCTGCACCTGTGGGGGTCAAATCAGGGGACGAACGGGTCGCAGGGAAGACAAAACAGGTCGGTTAACATGAGAAAAGCCCTCCACAAGTACGTCTGCCACCCCCTCCATTGCAAACTGCACCAACTGCTGCTGCACCTGTGGGGGTCTATAGACACAGACAGGACAGGGAGAAGCCACAGGGGACGAACGGGTCACAGGGAATACGAAACAGGTACATTACAAGGAAATGGCCCTCCCCTAGCACATCTGCCACCGCCTCCATGGCAAACTGCACCAGCTGCTGCTGCTGCACCTGCACCGTGGGTGGGTGGAACATGGGGGGGGGGGGGGATGGATCACTATTAACAGGGGAAGTGGAGCACAGGTAGCAGCAGAATGCACACCCTCCTGCAGCACGTCTGCCACCGCCTCCATTGCACACTGCACCAGCTGCTGCTGCACCTGTGGGGGTCCAACACCCAAACACAAACACCTGCAGGGGGATGCCGAGGTGGTTGAGTCGCTGCAGCAAGAGTCGACCTTTGAGGCGAAACACAGCCAGATGCTGACGAGGTGGGTGTGGGATGAGAACTGCCGACACCTGCAGTGGGATGCCCAGGTGGTGTTTGAGACGACTCGAAAAGAAGTTGACGAGGAGGGGGGACGTGAGAATCTGTGCCGCTGCGGGGGGGATGTTCGAGTAGACGATACCTGCAGTGGGATGCCGAGGTGGTTCAGTCGCTGCAGCAGGAGGCGGAACTCCGATAGCAGCGCGTCCACGTAGCTGGGGGGGGGGGGGGGGAGAGAGGGAGGAGGGGTGGTGGGAGGGGGGTGTAGGGAGGGCGGGTAACAGGGGGCGGATTGAGAGGGGATGAAGGGCGAAACAAGAGGCGAAACTCTGATAGCAGTGCTTCCACGTAGCTGGTGGGGGGGAGAAGAGAGGGAGGAGGGGTGGCGGGAGATGAGGTAACAGGGGACGGTATGAGAGCAGGTGAAGGACAGAGCAGGCGAAGGACAGAGCAAGAGTCTGCTTTTGAGTCGACTCAAAGGTATGAGAGCAGGCGAAGGACAGAGCAAGAGTCTGCTTTTGAGTCGACTCAAAAGTATGAGAGCAGGCGAAGGACAGAGCAAGAGTCTGCTTTTGAGTCGACTCAAAAGTATGAGAGCAGGTGAAGGACAGAGCAAGAGAGGCGGAACTCCAAAATTAGTGCGTCCACGTAGCTGGCAGGCAGTGTGTGTGTGTGGGGGGGGGGGGGGGGGGGTGGAGAGACGTGGGGGGAAGAGGAGCAGGGGCTGAGACGAGGGGGAAGAAGGACATAGTAGAGGCGGAACTCCGACAGCAGTGCGCCCACGTAGCTGGCGGGGTGGGGGGAGGTGGGGTGCCAGGGACGATTTGAGTGAGGAGTAAGGAGAGAGAACGAGGCGGAACTCCAATAGCAGTGAGAGAGTTCCCACCAGCTGTGCTGATGAAGGCTCTCTCAATCCTCCGCATAGCTGGTGGGACGCTCCTGAATGCATGCACTTATGCATGAGAAAAGTGGAGGGACCAGCATGTATGCCTCTGCATGCATGGCACAGATACGGGCTGTGGTAAGACGTGACGTCGTGGAACTCCTACCACGTGATGAGCATGCATGTATGAACGATAATCGAGTGGCACATGTGCCTGCATGGCACACGTACGGGCTGTGGTAAGACGTGACGTCGTGGGACTCCCATCTTCCTGCTGCGATCTTGTCCGCGTAGCTGGTGTAGCAAAGAAGAGGGAGATGCACGGAGATGTAAGGAGATGTGAGGAGATGCAAGGAGATGCAAGGAGATGCAAGGAGATGCACGGAGATGGGATGGAGATGTGAGGGAGATGTGGGGGAGAGAGAGGCAATGACCAGAGGAGAGAACGGGGGACAGGGGGCACGCCTATTAACACGAAGGGCAGGCAGAAGGGGGGGGGGAGACATCTTATGAACAAAATCTGGATGGCAAGAGAGGAGACGGGCAGCAGGTGCTTTCTGAGACAATAAAAGAAACGTCCCAGGGGGGGAGGTAAGGAGTGGAAGGGGGCAGGGGGTGGGGGTGCGTGGGTGGGTGTTGTGGGGGGAGGGGGGGAAAGTGGTGGAGGGAGACGAGGGGGGGTGAGAAAGGGGGGCGTGATGGAGAGGGTATGAGATGTGATGGAGAGGGTATGAGATGTGATGGAGAGGGTATGAGAAGCTCCGGTTTACATCCGCTCAGGTTGTGAGGTGTCACGAAGCTTACCTGCTGAAGTTGATGAGGAGTCGAGCGGCTGTTCTCAGCACGTGCTCACAAAGCTCCGGCACCACCTCAAGCTGAACGGGGCATGGGTTGAGGCGGGAGAGATGGGAGAGAAAGCGGGGAGAGAGCGTGGGGAGAGAGAGCGGGGAGAGAGAGCGGGGAGAGAGAGCGGGGAGAGAGAGCAGGGAGAGAGAGCGGGGAGAAGGACAGCTTGTAAGCGGTGGTGTGAATGGGAATAAAAAGGCCGTCCTCAGCGCATGCTTTCAGAGCTCTGGCACCACCCACCACCCAGTCAGCACATGCTCTGGCGCATGCTTGGCTGAGAGGAGTTGGTAGGGGTGGGCCGTGGGCGAGGTACGAGGGAGTAGGAAGCAGTGGAAAATGGAAATTCTGAAAGGCAATGCTGTTCACATCGCATGCTCACAGAGCTCTTGGTGTATTTTGAGTCGACTCAAAATACACCTGTTCACATCACGTGCTCACAGAGCTCCAGCACGACATCGCGCTGAGAGCGTGGTGAGAGGATCAGAAAGAAAGGAGAGGGGCGAGGTGGGATCGGAGGGATGCGACATGGGTGATATACAGGCCACGGGCCGACTGGCATTCTCAGCACGTGCTCACAGAGCTCCAGCACCACCTCGAGCTGCACGGGGCGAGGGATAAGGGGGGCGGGAGGAGAGGGGAGAGGTGGACAGAGTGAGACGTGGGTGATATACGGGTACACTGCGGCCCTCAGCACGTGCGCACAGAGCTCCGGCACCACCTCGAGCTGCACGGGGCATAGGTTGGTGCGAGAGAGAGGGTAGAAAGACGATTGATAAGCGGTGGTCTGAATGGGAATCAGAGGGCCGTCCTCAGCACGTGCTCACAGATCCCTGGAACCACCTCCAGCTGAGACGAGATGGTGAACGGGTAATGAGGGGATTGGTAATAGGGTGAAAGACGTGAGACATGGAAGTGAAAGGCTGCTCTCAGCACGTGCTCACAGTGCCCCGGCACCACCTCCATTGGAGGAAAAAAAAAAGGAAACGAAAAGGCACCACCTTTCAGAATTGGGAGAAACGGCCTCCAGCACAAAAAGTGGCTTACAGTTTCCGCCTTCAGGGTACAAGCCATGGCGTGTTTTGAGGTGTCTGTAACATGAGGAGGAATATTACCTCAAGTATGAACCCTGTGAACATGTTTACACCAAACAACCTCAAGCACAAAAAGAGGCTTACAGTCGTATTTTGAGTCGACTCAAAATACATGGACTCAAAATGCATCGACTCAAAATACACGTGAACATGTTTACGACAAACAAACTCAACCACAAGAAGAGGCTTACAGTCTCAGAGTAGTAGGACTCTAGGAGCGGCCATGACGTGTATTGAGAACGACTCGAAGCACACAGTGAATACCCTCAAGCACAAAAAGAGGCTTACAGTCTCGGAGTAGTAGAACTTCCACTCATCAACTCTAGGAGCCGCCATGCCCATGATGCCTTGGGCAGGTGTGAGAGGAACCTCGGCCGAGCTGCCTATTTTTCAGTCGACTCAAAACAACCTTACCGTCTCGGAGTAGTAGGACTCGAGGAGTGGCCATGATGCCTTGGGCAGGTGTGAGAGGAACCTCGGCCGAGCTGCCTATTTTTCAATCGACTCAAAACAACCTTACCGTCTCGGAGTAGTAGGACTCGAGGAGTGGCCATGATGCCTTGGGCAGGTGTGAGAGGAACCGCTGCCGCGCTGCCTGCACCACTTGCGCCAGCCACAGCAGCGACTCAATTGCCACACACCGCTCCTGGGGGTCGGATTAGAAATTGGGGGGGGGGGGGGGGTCGGGAAGGGGAGGGGAGGGTGTGGGAGATGGGAGGTGGGGCCGGTGCATTTGGACAGTGGGAGAGGAGCTTCTGTCACAGCAGCTCCTCTTGTGCCGCCTGCACCACTTGCGCCAGCCACAGCAGTGACTAAATTGCTACATACCGCTCCTGGGGTTCGGTATGGGGAAAGAGAGGGCGAGAGAGGGGGGAGGTGGGGAAGGTGGGGAGTGTGGATTGTGGGCGGGGTGGTGCGTTTGACAGGCGCGAGAGGAACTTCTGCCTCACGATCCTGCACCACTTGCACCAGAAACAGCAGGGACGCGATTTCCACACAGTAAAGGAAAATTGGGCACATTAACCCTTAGGGCGTAGCATAAAAAATAATCACCCTGGCTGGGAGCGCAATTCCAAGCCATTTCAATGTAACAACAAAAATAGTTGAGAAAAGCATCCAAATGCCGGTAGTATGATCAGAGCAGAAACAGTGACTTGAATGCTGATTCTGGAAGAGGTGTGAATACTGGAAGACTCAGAATACTCACCCTGAGCGCGTAGAAGTTGGAGGAGGAAATAAGCACCCTGGTGCCAGTCCTGCCATCAAACAGACTCGGTCGCACTCCCACACTCCCATTGCCCCCTCCACCACCCCTCTTCCCACCACCACCGCCACCGCCACCACCACCAGCAGCACCAGCAGCAGCAGCAGCAGCAGCTGCGCCTGAGGCCCCTATGGTGGCTTCAAGAGAAGAGGCGGCGGCTGCAGCAGCAGCGGAGGCAGCAGAGTCAGAGAAGGAGGGTGGCGAGAGAGGGCGCAGGCCCATGGCCTCGAATTTCTGCAGAATCTTTGTGAGCACCGTGCGGAGCTTGGGGGATAGCACTGGCAGTGGCAGGTGACACAGAAGGGAAGGGGAAGAAAGAAAAGGACGGGCGAAGACAGAAGAGTCAGTGAGGGAGGGCGGCGAGAGAGGGCGCAGCCCCATGGCCTCAAATATCTCAACACGTGGCAGAAATTTCGTGAACGACGCGACTTATGACCAATTTTCAAAGACTCTATACCATTTCTCAGACACTCTTTACCATTTTTCAAACACTCTTTACCATTTCCCAGATACTCTTTACCATTTTCCAGAGACTCTTTACCAATGTTCAAAGATTCTTTACCATTTTTCAAAGTTTCTTTACCATTTTCCAGAGACTCTTTATAAATTTTCAGAGATTCTTTACCATTTTCCAGAGACTCTTTATCATTTTTCAGAGATTCTTTACCATTTTCCAGAGACTTTTTATCAGTTTTCAGAGATTCTTTACCATTTTCCAGAGACTCTCAACCATTTTTCAGAGACTCTCAACCATTTTTCAGAGACGCAGTGCAGAGCTTGAGGAAGCTTGGGGAATACGAGTTCTTAGGCGCCCCAAAAGTCACCCTTTGTAAGGTCAGCAGTGCAGAGCTTGGGGGACGCGCATCAGAAGCATAGGCAGAGCTTGGGGGACGTGCAGAGTCTTACAGTGTGCATAAGCTGGGTCAGCGGATCTTAGGGCACTGAAGGCCTCTCGATGGCCAAAGATGCGGAAGACTGTGATGAGGTAGAGGTCGAAGAGCTGCCACACAGACTGAGGGAGTGGAAGGGAGGGGAGCGGGATAGCAAAAGGAGAGGTACAGGCATTTAATGCCTTGTGATGACCAAAGATGCGGAAGACTGTGATGAGGTAGAGGTCGACGAGCTGCCACACGGACTGAGATGGAGAGGGTGGATGGAAGGGGTGGTGGGGGGGGGGAAGAAGACAGAGGAAGCAAGGAGAGAGAAGGGCGTTAAACGCCCTAAGATGCGGAAGACTGTGATGAGGTAGAGGTCGAAGCGCTGCCACACGGACTGACAGGCAAGATTGTGTGTGGAGAAAGAGGGGGGGAGGAGAGAGAGGGGGGAGAGGGGGGAAAGGGGGGAGATGGGGGAGGGGGAGGAGTAGCGATGGAAGGGAGGAAGCACAGGAGCCACACAAAAAAAACAAGACGGATCTATACAGGAGAAGAGAGGAGAGAGGGCGCCGGAAGATAGGCGTTTACTGGAAAGCGTGATAAGGCAGCTCGCTGTGCTGGTTGTTGACTTTGAAGTCGACCCAGAAGGAAAGCGTGACAAGGCAGCTCGATGTGCTGGTTGTTGACTTTGAAGTCGACCCAGAAGGAAAGCGTGACAACATAGCTCGATGTGCTGGTTGTTGACTTTGAAGTCGACTCAGAAGGAAAGCGTGACAAGGCAGCTCGATGTGCTGGTTGTTGACTTCGAAGTCGACTCAGAAGGAAAGCGTGACAAGGCAGCTCGATGTGCTGGTTGTTGACTTTGAAGTCGACTCAGAAGGAAAGCGTGACAAGGCAGCTCGATGTGCTGGTTGTTGACTTTGAAGTCGACTCAGAAGGAAAGCGTGACAAGGCAGCTCGATGTGCTGGTTGTTGACTTTGAAGTCGACTCAGAAGGAAAGCGTGACAAGGCAGCTCGATGTGCTGGTTGTTGACTTTGAAGTCGACTCAGAAGGAAAGCGTGACAAGGCAGCTCGATGTGCTGGTTGTTGACTTTGAAGTCGACTCAGAAGGAAAGCGTGACAAGGCAGCTCGATGTGCTGGTTGTTGACTTTGAAGTCGACTCAGAAGGAAAGCGTGACAAGGCAGCTCGATGTGCTGGTTGTTGACTTTGAAGTCGACTCAGAAGGAAAGCGTGACAAGGTAGCTCGATGTGCTGGTTGTTGACTTTGAAGTCGACTCAGAAGGAAAGCGTGACAAGGCAGCTCGATGTGGTGGTTGCACTGATGATGTCACATCGATGGTGGGCTCACCATGATGACGTCAGCAGAGATGGGTCCCAGGGAGAACACCAGAGTGACTTGATAGTCCATCAACCTGGGGGTTGGGCGGGCGAAGGGGGAAGGGATTTGGCAGAGATGGGTAAGGCAGGATATGGCAAGGTATGGCAGGGTATGGCAGGGTATGGCACAGGGAAGTGAGCACAGGGAAGTGAGCTCACTACACCGCACGACACCGCACGACACCGCACGACACCGCACGACACCGCACGACACCGCACCGACACTGCACCGACACTGCACCGACACTGCGCCGACACTGCACCGACACTGCACCGACACTGCACCGACACTGCACCGACACTGCACCGACACTGCACCGACACTGCACCGACACTGCACCGACACTGCACCGACACTGCACTGACAAACCCAACCCACCTGACATCACCGAGAGCCACCCGGCCATCGCTCTGCGACCGACCCAGGAGAGAGCCAGGCAGTTGAGAGGAGGGAAGGCCGACTCACCTGACAGCACCGAGAGCCGATGCCGTGGCAGTGACTCCCGGCTCCTCCCCCTTCCCTGCCTTCGCTCCCTTCCCCCCCCTTCCCCCAGGAGAGATCAACCCGCCACCTCCGTCCTTCCCACTGCCCTGCCATCTCCTCCCCTGCCCCACCCGGCCATCGCTCTGTGACCGACCCAGGAGAGAGTCAGGGGGCTGAGAGGAGGGTGCAGATGGCACCCTGGCCGTCCCACTCCTCTGCACCCCTACTCCCACCCCCCCCGATCCTCCCGACCCCCTTCCTCCTCTTCCCCCTCCTCCCCTTCCTCCTCCTCTACCTCCTCCTCTTCCTCCACTTCTGCTTCTCTCCACCCTGCCGTCGCTCCTGCTGCTGGCTGTTGCTTCTCCTCCTCTGCCCCTCGTCTCTTTCTCCTGCTCTCTCGCTCCCACGCCCTCCCCCTCATCATCCTCGTCAATGTAATCAGCAAGCAACTCCTCACTCTCTTCTTCATCCTCCTCCTCCTCTTCCATCCCCCCCTCCTCCTCCTGCTCTCTCATTCTTGACTGCCCACTCCCAATCCCCCTCAAGCTGTTACTTGCTCCCATAGCACCACTTTGATCACGACAAACAGCGCCAGTGGGGTCGCTACGAACAGCAGCAACAACAGTGGGACTCCCAGCAGCAGCAGCACCGCCACCACCACTCCTACCGCTGCTGTAGCTACTGCTTCTCAAATCAAACCCACTGCCCCAGCTGCCACCGCCACCGCTAGCACCAGCAGCAGCAGCACCAGTGGGAGTAGGGGCGGCGTTTCTTGGAGCTACTCGCTCGGAGCTGTACTGCCGCAGTTCATTCACCCCTTCCGCTGAACTCCCAAACCTGCCCGCCCCATACGCACCTCCCCCAGAAAACCCTGCTCCATATGCTCCTGGGCTCTGAGCCGCCGAATGAGGGCTCGATCTTGCAGATCCTCCTTCCCTCTCTCTTTCCCTCTCCCTCTCCCTATCTCGCTCCATATCCATAAACCTATCTCTCAGCATCTCCCTGTCTCTATCCCGCACCCTCTCCCTCGCCACCTCCCCCCTCCCCCCCTGCGATACCACCACCAGCTCCCGCAGCATTCCCTGCGGCCCGTCCCACCCCACACCACCACCACCACTGCTACCCCCTCCCCCTCCGCCTCCCCCTACTCTTCCCCGGCCGCTTGCAGCGTCTAGCTGCTCCCTCCCGCCCCTCACATGCTCCACGTTGAACGGCTGGTCCAGCTGCATCCATCGGCTGAAATCCCACACAGACCCTGCCTCTCCGCCACCATCTCTTCCCACTCCGTCCCTGCCTCCTCGCTCTCCTCCCCCGTCTCCGTCCTCTCCTCCCCCACCGCCACGCCCAGCAAGCGCAGAGCCGCTTGGACAAGAGGGCAGCATTTTGTTGGGCGTGCGCGCAAGAGTGGAGCGGGCGGACGTGAGACGGTGCACCTCGGGGGCTTGCAGGGCAGAGGGGGGTAGGGGCTGCCAAGTCTCTCGCTCTACCATCATACGCAGAACCTGTGAGGAGGGGGAGGGATGGAAAGAACGATGGAGGGAAAGGGTAGAGCGGGCGGAAGTGAGATGGTGAACTCCGGGGGCTTGCAATGCAATGCGGAGGGGGGTAGGGGCTGCCAAGTCTCTCGCTCTACCATCGTACGCAGTGCCTGTGAGGTGGGAAGGGAAGGGATGACACGGGGTTTAGAGGGAAAGAGTGGAGCGGGCGGAGGTGAGTAAGATGGTGCACCTCGGGTGCTTGCAGGGCAGAGTAGGGCAGAGGCTGCCATGTCTCTCGCTCCACCATGATGCGCAGCAGCACCTATGCGGTGGGAAGGGATGGCATGGGGTTTAGAGGGAAAGGGATGCGCAGCACCTATGCGGTGGGAAGGGATGGCATGGGGTTTAGAGGGAAAGGGATGTGCAGCACCTATGCGGTGGGAAGGGATGGCATGGGGTTTAGAGGGAAAGGGATGTGCAGCACCTGCAGCATGGTGCGGGGCGGGAGGGGGAGATGGGTGGGGCACTTTGTTGGTTTCGCGGACGAGGGTGGAGCGGGCGGATGTGAGATGGTGCACGGCACGCCAGGGGCTCGACGGGAAGGAGGTGGGAGTGGGAAGGGAAGGAGGTGGGAGTGGGAAGGGCTGCTGTGTCTTGCGCTCCAACATCATACGGAGAACCTGGGCAGGGATGGGGAAAGGGGAGGAGGGCAAAACATGAGAGCCCATATTGGCCCTCAGGCTGTATGTCAGGGGCTTGCAACGCTGGAAAGGAGGGAAGAGCCTGTACACACACACTGTACATGTACATGTACACTCCACCAATGTACATGTACACACACACACACACACACACACACACACACATACACACACACACACACACACACACACATACACACACACACACACACACACACACACACACACACACACACACAAACCCACCCACTCAGATGTGTAGATACATGCAGGCCCACATTATCTCTCACCTCCAGCACCTGTCTGTGGTAGTTCTTAAAGAACTGATCGCATTGCTGGCCCATCTTGGCCATCAGGCGCACACATGCACGGAAAAAAACATATGTACACACTTACTCACTCGCTCACACATCACCTCACCTCCAGCGCCTGGCGATGGTGGTTCTTAAAGAGCTGGTCGCACTGCCGGTGCATCTTGGCCCTGCCTCTCAAACACATAGACATAAACACTCATACACACAGACACACATACCCACATTCTCACTCACATCCAGCGCCTGCCGATGGTAGTTCTTAAAGAACTGGTCGCACTGCCGGCCCATCTTGGCCCTCAGGCTCCCCGCCTCTGCTTGGGTGAACGCCTCCCCTGCCAGAACAAAGTCCTCCACGAGACACAGGATCTGGGGGGATGAGGAGCACAGGGGAGGGGAGCACAAGGAGGGAGCAGGGCATCAGGCACACCAGGACACATGTGGCTCCCTGCCTCTGCTTGCGTGAACGCCTCTCCAGATAGCACGAAGTCTTCCACGAGACACAGGATCGGAGGGGATGAGGAGCACAGGGGAGGGGAGCACAAGAGCGAGTGGGGCATTAGGTGAAGTGAAGGGCATCAGGCGCATCGGGACATATGCGGCTCCCCGCCTCTGCTTGGGTGAACGCCTCCCCTGCCAGCTCGAAGTCTTCCACGAGGCACAGGATCTGAGGGCACAGGATCTGAGGGCACAGGATCTGAGGGCACAGGATCTGAGGGCACAGGATCTGAGGGCACAGGATCTGAGGGCACAGGATCTGAGGGCACAGGATCTGAGGGCACAGGATCTGAGGGCACAGGATCTGAGGGCACAGGATCTGAGGGCACAGGATCTGAGAGCACAGGATCTGAGAGCACAGGATCTGAGAGCACAGGATCTGAGAGCACAGGATCTGAGGGCACAGGATCTGAGGGCACAGGATCTGAGAGCACAGGATCTGAGGGCACAGGATCTGAGGGCACAGGGGCGGGGGGCACAGGGGCGGGGGGCACAGGGGCGGGGGGCACAGGGGCGGGGGGCACAGGGGCGGGGGGCACAGGGCGGGGGGCACAGGGGCGGGGGGCACAGGGGCGGGGGGCACAGGGGCGGGGGGCACAGGGGCGGGGGGCACAGGGGCGGGGGGCACAGGGGCGGGGGGCACAGGGGCGGGGGGCACAGGGGCGGGGGGCACAGGGGCGGGGGGCACAGGGGCGGGGGGCACAGGGGCGGGGGGCACAGGGGCGGGGGGCACAGGGGCGGGGGGCACAGGGGCGGGGGGCACAGGGGCGGGGGGCACAGGGGCGGGGGGCACAGGGGCGGGGGGCACAGGGGCGGGGGGCACAGGGGCGGGGGGCACAGGGGCGGGGGGCACAGGGCCGGGGGGGCACAGGGCCGGGGGGGCACGGGGGAGGGGGGCAGCAAAAGAAGGATGGGTCATAGGTCCATCAGGACCATTTGGAGAGAAGGGGAGAGAAGACGTTCAACATCAAGAACAAGGCATCTAAACGCCAACGTCAAGTCCTCCTTCACTAGACACAGAACTTTGGAGCCCAGGGGAAGGGAGACGAGGTTTGAGTCGACTCCAACGTCACCTCGAGAAGACGCTCAACATCAAGAACAAGGCATCTAAACGCCAACGTCAAGGCCTCCTTCCTAGGCACAGAACTTTGGAGCCCAGGGGAGGGAAGACGAGGTTTGAGTCAACTCAAACGTCACCTCGAGAAGACGCTCAACATCAAGAACAAGGCATCTAAACGCCAACGTCAAGTCCTCCTTCACTAGACACAGAACTTTGGAGCCCTGGGGAGGGTAGCCCACCTGGAGAAACTGTTCCGAAGTGCCGCAGCACACAGGAGGGGCGGACAGCCACCCTGCGGGCAGCCTGCTGGGATACCGTCTTCCTGCCTTGATGTGCGTCGGAACGAGAGAGAGAGAGGGATAACGGGACACCCACCCACCTGCAGGAACTGTTCCGAAGTGCCCGAGCAGACTGGCGGGGCGGACAGCAGAGCAGCCACCCTGCGAGCAGCCAGCTCCCACACCGCCTTCCTGCCCGTCTCCAGAGCCCCCCTCACTGCCGCTGCTGCCGCCTCCCGCACAGCTGGTGTGAGCTCCCTGGCCGGCGACGGCACAGCTGGCACCAGCTCATTGGCTGGAGAAGGCACTGCGGCTAGGCTAGCAGGCGCAGCAGCAGCAGCAGCAGCAGCAGCAGCAGAGTCATCGGCAGCAGGCTCTTTCCCCTTGAGTGGCCCCCCTAGTGGTGGCGCACTTTCGCCCTGCTGGCCCTGCACGAGCTTGCTTTTGCCTCCTCCTTCCCTTCCTCTCTCTCTAGCCGCACCTCCCTCCTCCTCTCCTCCCGCTTTCCCTTCCAACCTGTCCACGTCATCCTGGACGTCATGCAGAAAATCCCACTGCCCGCCACCGCTGCCACTGGCCCCCACCACCCTATCACTCATACCACCACCGCTTCCACTAGCGCCCACCACTCTCGTAACCGTGCCGTCACCACTGGTGCCACCCCCAGTGCCACCCCCCGTGCCACGAAGACAACCGCTGCTCTTATCCATCGTATCGCCCTGTACTCTCGTTTCTCCCACCGAAACACCATCCACCCCAGCAGGGGCAGCAGCAGCAGTGCCGTCGCTGTCGACGGTGCTGGCACCGACGTTGGTTGTGACGGTGGTGGGTGCAACGCTGTTGGGTGCCAGTGATTCAGCGTCAGGTGTAGTGGGATGCGCATGCGCCTGTGGTGTGACGTCAAAGACAACAGCCTGCACCTTTGGTAAGCACAAGGAGTCCTCGAATCTGTCCGGGACAGGACTGCCCTCCTCACTCTCCCTGCCCTTACTACTACCGCCCTGTGCCTGTGCTGTGCTGCTCGTGCTACCCTTGCTGCTGCTTGCAATTGTATTGCTGCAGCTAGCGCTAACCTTGCTGCTGTTTGCGCTCGCCTGCGTGCCTCGCTGGTCAGGGGTCGAGGAGGAGGAGGGGGGGAGTGGGGATGGGGCTGTGGCAACAGTGGTGGTGGTTGATGTTGCTAGGGTGCTTATTGGCGTGTGCTGTAGGGCAGTGGGAGGAGCAGCAGTGGACACCTGAGGAATGAGTGGGGAAAGAAGGTACAGGGAGAGGAAACGTGAGAGCGTGTATGGGGAGGAAAGGAAAGGCATGGGCAGGAGGAAGGGCAGTAGATATTGTCAGAAGTCGGCTCAAATACCATGCTGGAGTGGGTTTAGGCAGTGGGTTATTATCCTTACAATCTTGAGCAGTCGGGTAATTAATAACCCATCTTCTGCAATGGGTGATGTTAACTGTCTTAAAAAGAAAATAAAAAACCTTCCCATCTCAACCAGTGAGTAGTCCTTACTGTCTTGAGCAGCGGGCTGCGGGCCGTCATCACGACGTGGTGTGAGCACAAGCTCAAAGACAGGCACAAAGCGGTGCCTGCCAGCCCTTGCTACAAGTGAACACCCAAGCCCTCTTGAGCAGCAGACTTGTACGAGCCCAAGCAAGCCAACCAACACATACCGTCTTGAGCAGCAGGTGCCTGGCGGTCATCAAGACGTGGTGCGAGCACATGAGCTAAACAGTGGTGACAGCTCATACAAATCACTCAACACTTACTGTCTTGAGCAGCGGGTGATGGGCGATCATCATGACATGGTGCGAGCACATGAGCTCAAACACAAGCTCCATGGTGCGGATGAGGCAGAGAAAGAAGAAGCGGTCCGACAGCTGCCCGCACAGCTCGCTGTATGCCATTCTGTGGTACATAGGTGTGCAGGGGGGTGACAAGGGGTACAGAGGTTCAGAAGTGCACCGGTCAAACACGGTCACCATGGTGCAAATGAGACGACGAAGTGATCGGCAGCTGCCTGCACAGTTTGCTGTATGTTATGCTATCCTGCGGCCAGAGGGTGCAACAAGGGGGCGGGGGGAGAGGAGCAGGGGTGGTGTCTCTGTCACTAATGGCACAGGGGTTTTAAGAAGGGGTTAAGAATGACAAATTAATGCAGGGGCATCGACGAATTGTGATTGCAGAGAGAAACATGGAATGGCAGAATTTGTGGTGCTTGAATTGCGAGGTTTGATTTGCGACGTTTGAAGGATGTCCACAACTATAACTGCAACTGACTCAGGCGGCGGATGGTGCTGCAGTTGCGAGAATGATCTGCCGATAAAGACGAGCGACGATGAGCTCACTGCAAGGAAGAGCAAGGCTACACGGAGTATACAAGCCTTAGTGAAAACGGAAGGGTTATGGGAGGGCTCAAAACCAGGCATACCTGCTTCTTCTGGCGTCGTCCTCTGAGCTTCCCTGCACATATTAAAAGATGAATAGAACAGAGGACGTCAGCATGTGTACAAAACATGCTAGCCAAACAGGGGTGGTGATAATAACCATGTCTTGTCGTACAATGCCACGGCGAAAACAGCCACCCACCCGTCATCCACACCCCACCCGCCCGCCTGCTCGACGAACTGCAGGAGGACCCGCCCCACCCAGCAGGACGCCGTAGGTCCCTGTACCCACACCGCCTGCAAGAAGTTGTGCACGTGCCTACCACTCACACACTCGCCTGCTGCGCCATGTAATGCTCATGCCCTGCATGACACCCACCTGCTCCATGAACTGCAGCAGGATGTCCTAGGTCTCTGTAATGCTCAGCTCACTTATATTCAAACACTCGCCTGCAGGCTGCAGCGTCGCATAATGCTACCGCACAGCACTGCACATCGCACGCACCCACCTGCTCAACGAACTGCATCAGGATGTCAGAGGTCTCTGTGACCACCGCTTGGGAGAAGAAGTTGTGCACCTGACATATACTGCAAATGCGCTCACCACACCACACCACACCGCACCGCACCACATTAAAAGCGCCAATGCAGCACCCACCTGCTCCACGAACTGCAGCAAAATGTCGTAGGTCTCCGTGACCACCGCTTGCGAGAAGAAGTTGTGCACCTTCTCTGCCAGGGCTGGCAGCCCGTTCATCACTGCGTATGAGTCAAGCACCTGGGAGCGAGAGGAAGGGGGGAAGAGAGCAGTGTGAAAGGGAGCAGCTGTGAAACGCTGCTCTGCACCACCACGCACGCACGAGATGCTACCGTGATACTGACTGTAGCATTTGGTGCTACTGACCGTGGCATAGGCGGCGGGGCTGTAGCGATGGCAAAAAGTGAAGAGACTGCGTTTGAGTTGACTAAAAAGCCAACACATTGCATGCTGCTGTGCTACTGACCGTGGCATAAGTGGCGGGGCTGTAGCGATGGCAAGCAGAGAGGAGGCTGCGTTTGAGTCGACTCAAGCGCCAACACATTCCGTGCTGCTGTGGGTAACTGTGTTACTGACCGTGGCATAGGCGGTGGGGTTGTAGCGGCGGCAGACAGTGAAGAGAATGGCGTCCACCTCATCCACCACTCGAGCTAGCCACCCCTGGAGTATGATAAGATAGAGTGCAGCACAGCACAAGACAGCACAAGGCACAGCAGAGCGGCAGGCAACACTGGTGAGTGGCGGCAACGCGGACAGTGAAGAGAATGGCGTCCACCTCGTCCACGACTCGCGCTAGCCACCCCTGGAGTATGGTAAGGTAGAGTGGAGGGGAGTGGAGTGGAGGGGAGTGGAGTGGAGTGGAGTGGAGTGGAATGGAGTGGAGTGGAGTGGAGTGGAGTGGAGTACCACAGCAGGCACAGCACGATGCAAGGTAAGACAGATGAGTGGAAGCCCCTATTCATCTCGCCACCCTCCTCCTCCCCCCTATCCACTTTGCCTCTTCCCTCCCCTGACCGGGGATTCTCCCCTCTCCTCTTCGCCCCCCTCCCCCTCCCCCTCCCCCTACTCCTCCTCACCCCCCAGCTGCTGCTCGTATCGCCTATGGCCCATAGCCCTCTGCGCTGCTCCATCAGCAAATTTTCTTCCTCAAAGCCGCTGCTCATGCCCGCTATGGCCCACCCCAGAGCCCTCCGCTCGGCCTTTGAATCGACTTAAAAGCACTATGGCCCACCCCAGAGCCCTCTGCTCGGCACTGCGAGCGCAGCCTTGCTTTCTCCATTCACTACTACCATTCCCTCAACCCTCCCTCCTCCCCCCCCTCACCTCCAAGCTGCTGCTCATGTCCCCTATGGCCCACAGCCCTCGGCTCTGCTCCACCAGCACGAGGCACAGCGAGCACAGCTGCAGGGCCACCAGCCCACCTCCACTACCCTCCCTCCCCACCCCTCCCTACCCTCTTGGTTCTACCCCTCCCTACCCCTCCCTACCCCTCCCTACCCCTCTTCCCCCCCCCTCACCTCGAGACTGCTGCTCATGTCCCCTATAGCCCACAGCCCCCGGTTCTGCTCCACCAGCACGAGGCACCGCGAGCACAGCTGCAGGGCCACCAGCCCACCTCCACTACCCTCCCTCCCCACCCCTCCCTACCCTCTTGGTTCTACCCCTCCCTACCCCTCCCTACCCCTCCCTACCCCTCTTCCCCCCCCCCTCACCTCGAGACTGCTGCTCATGTCCCCTATAGCCCACAGCCCCCGGTTCTGCTCCACCAGCACGAGGCACCGCGAGCACAGCTGCAGGGCTGCAGGGTAGTCGCCCCCCTCGACCAGCTGCTGCAGCTGGGCCTTCATCCGCGCTATCTGCTTCATTTGCTGCAGCATGGGGATCATGCTCTGGGACAAGCGGACATTGTTTTGGGGGGGGGGGGAGAGGGGGGGGGGATCAAAGGCGTCATAGGGCTGCGGAGTAGTCGCCCAACCCCCACTAGTTGCTGCAGCTGAGCCTTCATCCGCGCTATCTGCTTCACGTGCTGCAGCAGCATGGGGATCATGCTCTGGGGACGAACAGCGAGAGGTGAGGGTGTATTTTGAGTCGACTCAAAATACACCTTTTGAGTCGACTCAAAATACACCTTTTGAGTCGACTCAAAATACACCTTTTGAGTCGACTCAAAATACACCTGAGCCTTCATCCGCGCTATCTGCTTCATGTGCTGCAGCAGCACGGGGATCATGCTCTGGGGACGAACAGCGAGAGGTGAGGAAGGAGAGGGGAAGGGGAAAGTGCAGGGGTAGACACGTCTCTCCCTCCAGTCGCTGCAGCTGAGCTTTCTTAAGGGGGATATGCGCCGAGCTGGTTATTGAGAATTCTCAAAAACCCAATTGAGAGGGGGGGTTGGACAGGTTTCTTTCTCCAGCTTCTTCAGTTGGAGGAGGCTTCCACCATGCTCCAGGCGGATGACAATTTTCCTTGAGAAAGATAACTTCATGCAACATGGCTCCTTGATTTGTAAAGCACACACACAGTGGCCATGAACGTGCGCTATACCCACCCACCAAATCGTCTCCAAAAAAAACCCTCGCCACAATCCACTTACAGTGGCCATGCGAACCTTCTGCATGCTGTTGGATACAATAAGGTTCTTCGAATCGACTGAGAGGGTGTAATTCGAGTTGACTCAGAACCCACCCACCCACCACTCGTGCCTAAACCCCTTGCTGCACCCTACTCTAATCACAGTGGCCATGCGTTTCTAGACTCAAGGCTCACAGTGGCCATGCGTGATACCCACTCACTCGTTTCCAGATTTCTAGACCCCTCGCTGCACTGCACTCTACTCACAGTGGCCATGCGCTTCTTCTGCACGTTGTTGGACACAAAGGGCTTCTGTTTTAGTCAACTCAAGAGGTTGTTTGAGTTTGACACAATCTAGCCGTGCCCACCCACCCACCCACCCACCCCCTCGCTGCACTGCACTCTACTCACGGTGGCCATGCGCTTCTTCTGCACGTTGTTGGACACAACGAGGTTCTTTGAGATGTCCTTGCGTGCGCTGTTGAGCAGCCGGCGGGTGTTCTGAGAGGGTGGGGAGAGGAAGGGGAGGGCGACGAAGGGGAGGGCGAGAAATGGGAGGGAAATGGCAGGTGATACTCCCAACGAGGTTCTTTGAGATGCCCTTGCGCGCTCTGTTCAGCAGCCGGCGGGTGTTCTGACAAGGACGGGGGGAGAGGGTTGAGTGATCGCAGCACAGGGGAAGAAACACTAATATGCTCGTTGTGAGTCAACTAGAAAGCACGCTCCTAGAAAGCACACTCCTAGAAAGCACGCTCCTAGAAAGCACGCTCCTAGAAACAATTCGAAACAGTTCAACAGCCGGGAGAAGTCTGAAACAGAGGGTGGGCGAGAAGGGGTCTAGTTTTGAGGCGTCTCGGAACAGTTCAGCAACCGGCAGATGACATAGAGCACTACTTAGTACTCACCCTGCAGATGACATAGAGCACTTGGAGGTCCCTCTCCAGCTCGGCAAAGAGGTTCATTCCTTGCACTACGGGCAATACATATTGCTCTACTCCTTCCCCTCCCCACCAGGGGGAAATTACATGGAGCACTGCTCAACTCAGCTCACCCTGCAGATGACATAGAGCACTTGGAGGTCCCTCTCCAGCTCGGCAAAGAGGTTCATTCCTTGCACTACGGGCAATACATATTGCTCTACTCCTTCCCCTCCCCACCAGGGGGAAATCACATGGAGCACTGCTCAACTCAGCTCACCCTGCAGATGACATAGAGCACTTGGAGGTCCCTCTCAAGCTCCGCAAAGAGGTTCATCCCTTGCACTGGAGGAGGAAGGCAGGGGCAAGGGCAGTCGGGGGATGGTGATAGGGCAGCAGCACGGGTGTAAAAGATAGCCAAGAGGATGGCAGTCAGGCTCCAGCGCCGCAAAGAGGTTCACCCTTGCACAAAAGGTAGCGACGGCCGGGGGGGAAGCGGGGGAGCGGGAGGGGGGAGGGCGGGGGGAGGAGAGGATGGCTGCAGAGGGAGAGGATGGCGGCATGAGAGTTGCAACTCTCATCTCATGGAAGAAGGGAGTTGCTTTTTGAGGCGCCTCAAAAATCGTCTCAGTTTTTTAGGCGGCTCAGGAGCCGCTACCGCAGGGGTGAAACGATGGATGGCATGGAAGAAGGGAGATCGTACGCGCAGGGGTAAGCTTTTGAGTCGACTCAAGCAAAGAAGAAGGCAACAGGCCACAATAGTGGCATGGCAAGCATGCAACACTAGAAACTTCTACCCTCCCCCCCCCCTCCCCCCTTCTTCCCCTTGCCCCCCCCCCACCCCTCCCACCGGCACCCACCCATTTCTTCGTGGTGACTCATCACTTGAGACGCCAGCTGTTCCGACACCTCGTCCAGCTGTAACTGGCGCTTGCCACACTGCCACGTCAGCACCAGATGGCATAGAAGCAGCCAAAGCCAATTGAGTTACAAGAAGGATGAATCGAAAGAAATGAAACTGTGCACCTGCGGCCTCTGGTGCACCCTTTGAAATGAAACAGTGCACGCTTTGAAAGGCGTGCATACCTGCGGCCTCTGGTGCATACCTGCGGTCTGTGGTGCATACCTGCGGCCTCTGGTGCACACCTGCGCCCCTCAGGTGGACACACCAGGTTGCATACCTGTGTTCCAAGGTGCTGCAAGGAGAGAGGACCCTCTGGAAGCTCCTCCAGCGCACAGCGAACCGGGTCAAAGTCCTGTAACGCGGATAAACGAAGAAGGAAGACGGCCTTTTGGAAATAGGAACTGAAGTCCTGATACGAGCATTATAGAGAGAGCAGCATACTGAGAACGCAGTGATACCAAGGAGGTGGGCAAGAAGGGGGAGGAGGGGGGGTGGGAGGGGGGGGAGGGAGGGGGGGGGGGGGGAAGAGAAAGAGGGGAGTGGGCGGAGGGTGGAAAGAATGAGGAGGTGAGGGGGAGAGAGGGATACAAAAAGATGATGGCAACCTCGCAGTTCAACAGCCTGTGAGCCAACGGTCCTTTTCACGCACCCCGTCAAAGAAGCACGCATCCACCCACCGGCTCTGCCTGCCTGCTCTGTTTGCTCAGCCTGCACTCCTGAGGCACGCATGCGGCACGCCTAGCAAGCAGGTACACCTAGCAAGCAGGCACACCTGCTGCTGGCACTGAGGCCCTAACGCTCCCGGGCGAGCTCTCACCTCTCACCCTAGCAAAGCACTCTGGCAGAGAAACGTGCAACTACCGGCCCCGCCTGCTCCGGCCACACCAAACGCCTGCTGGCACACACATATTCCCACCAACACTCACACCTTTCCTTCCCACTATACTATACAAGCACTACCTCCTTCCTCCCTTGCGCTGGAAAAGCCATCTGTAACAAGAGCGCGCAATGAGCGGCTCTGGCTGCTCTGCCTGACCCCAAAACACAACCCCGCCCATTCCAAGCACGCACTTCCACTGCACTGCATGCCAACCCTCGCTATAGCTCCCCCTATATAAGCACCTCGTTAAAGAAGCACGCATCTAGCGGCTCCGCCTGCTCCGCCTGCATGGGTCGCAGCGATGACATGCCAGCTAGGATCCCCAGTGACGTGTTCATGGATGACGTGGCAGATAAGGGCGGAGACTCGTCCACGTCATCCAGGGCCCCTCCTCCCCCCCCAATCCCGCTGCTGCTTGTCCGAGTCACCATGGCCCACAGCCCTCCAATCCCCCCTCCTCCTCCCACCCCTCCCCCTCCTGCTGATCCCCCTCTCCCCCTTCCCCCTGCTCCCCCTCCGCCGCCTCCCCCAGTGAGCATGGGAGATACCGCCCCCCCTTGATGCGACCTGCGGAGGGGGGAGGGGCTTCCTATGGAGTCTTGGCGGGAGGCAGGGGGAACAGGGGAGGAGGAGGGACCGAGGGAGAAAGGGGAGGTGAGGAAGGAGATGACGTCAGCAGCAGTGGTGCGAGGGGAAGGCTGGGAAAGCCGCGACTGCTGCTGCTGCTGCTGCTGGTTGTGATGGTTGTGGTGGTTGGTCTGGGGTGGGGAGGTGAAGAGCGAGAGGACGCTGAACCCTGGAGAGGCAGGGGAGGAGGCGGACTGAGTGCGTGTGAGAGCGGTACTACCGCCAGCACCACCAAGAGTACCTGCTCCGCCTATCCTCCCATACGCGCCATCACCAGACCGACCATCCCCACCGCTACCACCACCACCACCACCACCACCACTGCTGCTTGCCCCAAAGCCACCAGCGCTGCTGCTACTGCTCTGGTTCTCGAACCTGATCTCGTCTAGGGTTATGTGCAGCTCCGCTGCTGCTACCGCCGCAGCAGCAGCCGCATGGGAAGGGGGAGGCTGCGGGCGGACAGGGGGGGATTCGTACGTGGCGGAGCGGGATGGAGGGACGCGCGGGGTGGGGGCAGGAGGCGGACGGCCACGATCAGGCGCGGCGATGGATAAGGACCGTTGGATGTTCTTGAAGAAGGAAGAGCCTCCCCCTGCTCCAGCTCCGAGGAAACCACCAGGGCCTGTTCCCATGAACCCTCCAGTACCGAAACTCTTGAAACCACCACCACCACCACCACCACCACCACCACCACCATTACTGCTGCCACTACCATCCGCACCACCGCCCCCAATCCCAAGCCCTCCGATTCCTCCAATTCCGCCTAAATTCAGCCCCCCTCCCCCCAAGGTAAACCCGCCTCTGCTTCCGCCGCTGCTGGTGGTGTCGCTGGTGGTGCTGCTAATGGGCCCGTTGGGTCCCCATGGACGCCTGCGACTGGTGGCTGCTGCTGCGGGCGATGGAGGCTCCTGTGATAATAGCGGATGTGACATAGTGGACGGAAGATAATGATGGTGAGGTATAGAGGCAGACTAGGGCAGCGAAATAGTAGCTTCACCAAATAAAGATTGACTCGAGGTAAACGCATTAGAGTGAAATAGGGTTACATAAAGTTACAAGCGTGAAATCTTTTGAGCTGAAAATGACGCACTTGATCGTAGAAACCTCCGCCTGAGCCGCCTTGCAGCCGATTGAGCGGATCGTTTATCAACTTCTCCGCAAATCGTCGAAACCCGTCCATCCTTCAGGGGCGCTCCTTCTTAGCAGCAAATTAATCAGATTGAAAGGCTCACAGCCTCGCGCCGATCGCTATCAGCAGACGGCTAGTCCGGGTTGAAGGTTGAAAGCGCTATGAGGCAACCACGATCCGTTATGAATGCTCGATAGTTATTAGGGTCTCAAGTCGATATTTGAGGCGCCTAAAAAAAGGCCCTCAAGTCGAGAAGACAGCCCGAAACTGTGCCTTGTTCGAATTGGCCGGATCGGTCACAAAATCATTGGCCGGAAATCGATGTCGTCGGTCTCAGATGTCAAACTGGACATCAGTATATTCGCATCCCAGGCTTGCAATGGCTATGCACGTGCGAAATCATGGTTTCAAACACTAAGGCGGGGAGTAAGAGCCCAAACCGCTAGTGAGTGGATCCTTATTCCTGTTCCTGAATCTGTTACCTACAGACTTACTCGGACCATCAAGCTTGGGTGTTAGGGTAGTGTTAGCCTGCGTGTCAATCTGGGGTACAGCCTACCTGACTCGTGGAGGCAGATAGTGCCCGCGTGTCAGGCTAGTTTGACGCTGGTTAGCAACATTTCCAGACCTCCCATACCGGTCAAAATCGCGTCTACCAGTCAACTTTAGTGTCGCATACACCGACAGCCGAAAAGCCACAAATATTTGCGAACAAATTAGCATGCCCCACGACCCTGATTTGCGACTGACGATCTTGTAATAAATCTCGCGAGCGCCCCACGACCTCGCTAGTGCCACCAGACGTCAATTTCCGAGGCCCTGACGTCAATGGTCGCGCAGTGGCTGTTAGGTCGACCTGTCCCACGGTCAGCTACCAACACCGTGACACGTAGTCTAACTCCGCCCTCACACAGATTTTGTTTCGAGGAAATTGAGGTTCCGGTTGCAGCTTGGGTGGTGGACTGACGAGCGGGGCTGGTTGGGGAAGAATTCGCGAAGACGGTTGAATTCGCATAACCACTTTCGCATCGCATTGGCTTGTCAGAATCGGGGGCTTGAGCCCACGAATCTAGCCAACCAGTGAAAGCCACGATTTCCAAACGGCCACACCACCACACCACACAGCAGATTTCGCGATTAGCATATTTCGCAATTAACCAATTTCGCTAGTACACCATTTTTGTTTTTGTATTTTACAAAACTATCATGCGGCGCATAACTGAATCTCGAAATTTTTGTAACGTGGGCAAAATCGACATTAGCAGGAAATCGGCACGTGGAGGCAATAATTGTGGGGGTAACATACCTTAACTCTAGTAGAACCAACAATGTTACCGGAACATCGCCGAGGGATCCTACACGTGATGAGCGACATTCGCCAAATGACACAACTTGACGTTGGTTAGGTGAGTATTATCCAGCACACAAGTAGCGACATAAAAAGAAACAGCCCATATAGAGGCACTGGTAGCGACAAAGGCCGACGTTTCTAGGACATGCAACCCAATAACTAGTAGAACAGCTAACCATCCTCCATCCACGACTGCCAAGTCATACTGTCTGAAACACCGGGCCCTCGCTCGACAGGCACAACATGCTCCACTGTCAAACAGCATCTCTACCTTCTAAGAGCATACAAAACAGGTCACACTAAGATGAAAGCAGTGGAAGAACACAAAAGAACACTGCCTGCTCTCGACCGAGCATAGCTTAGACTCGCGTGATTTACGAAACACAGCATAGGTAATCTTGCGACTTGTGACGCATGCCGACCTATGCCATTCGAGGCGATGTTCTCGCCCGATGCAATAAGAGTACTTTGAAATGATCGGCGACCATGAGTACAGGTGAACACAAAACACTAGGGTTGAGCCTTGGCCGCGACCACGAAACAACAGTACGATAGCGACGAACACGAAATCGCAGTACAAAGACATGGCGGCGAGGAAGAAACAACATCGGTTAGGCAGCTAATACGGGGGGGGAAGGAAGAGGGGAACAAGGGAGAGAGCAACCTGTGGAAATAGGATACATCTGTGAAAGTTTTGTAAAACAATACGGGTAGAACTGTATCCAAAACAAGGTGTATTTGACGGTTTCAGGCGCACTAGTTAGGATCATAAGGTCCTTCACTGGGACCTTGTGACACAAGCATTCCAGTTTAGGCCAAGCTTCCTGGTCCGTGGATATCCATCAAAGCTCGTCCTTACACGCGCCGGAGGGGGATTGGCTTAGCGAGGAAGCATTGGTAGGGATCATTCTCAGCGTAGAATACCGTAAGAATGGTCGCAACGGCACGAACGGGACGCGCCAGCTGGAATTCTTAGTTAGAACTCCCTCCAGCCTCGTTGTCCTGAAACTTTAGCTCATCATTCCGCAAATATTTCTAAAATCAAGCTCAGTCTCCTCGGTGTGTCAGAGCGATCCGGTGCTTGCATTCTGAGAGCGTGACCTGTAGACTCACCTAGACGAACAATTTGCTCTTCCTTGTGCGACCGCCTTAGCTGCACCGAAGGACGCCTCGAGGCAGCTATAGGATTTCCCATCGTCCTGTCAGGTAGTCGTTTCCGAGGTTCCGATCCGTTCCGTGTTGCAATGTTGCTGCGAATCACGTTCCAGGGTCCACCCGAACACACCCGACGCCCACAATGTAGGGTGTATTAGAATCTCGGAATCGGACTGATGTCGACCTACACATAGCGTACCTGAGTCTGACATTAGTGTCGTAAGTACCTAGCTCTAAACGTACGTGGCTGCTGCAGTCGCTGCTGGTGGCCGTCTGGCCATTGCGAGTGGCAATGGATGCACGCGACAGGCGACGGCTGTGGAAAAAAGTGAGCATCCATGCTAGTGACGGGGGGTTATTCACCATGCTCGCTTTTTTCCATCACCAGCAGCAGCAGCGACGACAGGGGGTTATTGCTAGTGACGGGTTAGTGCAAGTGGCAAGGGATGCACGCGACAGGCGACGGCTGTGGAAAAAGGTGGGCATGGTGGGAGGTTATTGCTAGTGACGGGTTAGTGCAAGTGGCAATGGATGCACGCGACACGCGACGGCTGTGGAAAAAGGTGGTTTCACAGAAGCTGGCTCTTCCTGGTTCTTTCGCCATCAGGCCGTCCCTTTTCTGCCACTTTTGAGTCAACTCAAAAGTCACCTCGTCCCTTTTCTGCCACTTCAACCACTTTTCTCGTTCCGCTCGACAGGTCCCACCCACGCACACGTCGCCTCTTACGCATTCGTTGCTCCTGCTGTTGTGTGCGATCGACCTTTTGCATGCCTTTTGTTATGAAGAATCCCTAAACGAATTGTAAAAATCTCTCCACTCATGCCTTGGGTTGAATGTGGGTGGCTGGATGGCGTGTGAGGAGGGGGGGGGGGAGAAGAGGGGGGAGGGTGGGGGAGGGGGGAATAGTTGAGGGCAGCGAGGCGGCCAGAAGTGCAGCCGCCCATCTGGTTTGCGGCGTTTCGAGCATGCTGCTCTGTGCGCCGGATCACGTGCCTCTTCTTCCTCTACGTGCTCACCGTGCTGCTGCTCTGTGAGTGCTCCTCACCGTTCTTTTTGAATGGCAGCAGGCTGCTTTCTAGCGCTCTAGCAAGTGTTATATGCTGCTCTGTGCGGCGGATCACGTGGCCCTATCTGCTCACTGTGCTGCTGGTTGTGTAAGTGCTCCTAGCCACTCTTTTTGACTTGGAACAGGCTGCTTTCCAGCAAGTGTCTAATGCCGCTCCCTGCGACGGATCATGTGCATCTTCTTCCTCTCTCTGCTCGCCAACTTGAACCAGCTCTCTCAGCGAGGGCATGTTCTGCGACCACCACCCCTTGAACCAGCGCTCTCATCCTCTCAGCGAGGGCATGTTCTGGGACCACCACCCCTTGAACCAGCGCTCTCATCCTCTCAGCGAGGGCATGTTCTGGGACCACCACCCCTTGAACCAGCGCTCTCATCCTCTCAGCGAGGGCATGTTCTGGGACCACCACCCCTTGAACCAGCTCTCTCATCCTCTCAGCGAGGGCATGTTCTGGGACCACCACCCCTTGAACCAGCGCTCTCATCCTCTCAGCGAGGGCATGTTCTGGGACCACCACCCCTTGAACCAGCTCTCTCTCATCCTCTCACGGTCTCACTGTCCTTGTGTGTACTGTCACTCACTCTCACCCCACCTGACGAGGTGGGGGAAGTGGGCCGCATGTGTCTTGCGGACCTCTCCTAAGATGATTTTCGAGTCGACTAAAAAATCACCTATCCTAAGAGTGCCCCACGGAGGGCATGTTCTGTTCTGGAACCACCTATCACATCCTGTTGTCTCTGCATCAGCTGCCTCCTGTTCCCCCCTCTGGTTTCACACTTGTCTTTTCCGAACCTCCCTGCTTGCTCCAGATGAGATCGGGGGAGTGGGCCACATGTGTCCGGCGGATCTCTCGTGCGAGTACCCCACGGAGGGCATGTTCTGGGACCACCCCATGCTGCCTCGCAAGCCCCCTCGAGTCGTCCGCTCCTACCTCGTCAACGCCTCCGCCGCCGCTGCTATTGCTGCCGCTGCTGCTGGCAATGCTACTGGCTCTGGCGCTGCTGGCAGGGGAAGGGCAGGCACCGTCTAGGAGCAGCAGGAGCAACAGGGGGAGGAGCAGGAGGCAGGGCAGCAGCAGGGGGAGCAGCAGGGGGAGCAGGGGGGGGAGCAAGAGGGGGAGAAAGAGGGGAGCAGCAGGGGATGCAGCAGCAGGGGTGTGGAGGAGCAGGTACTAGTGGTGGAGCAGGAGGAGGAGGAATACGTGGTGGGGGGGCATCTGCTGGTGCAGGAGACAGGGGAGGGGCCCGAGAAGCCTGAGAGCTGCGTGGAGCTCTGTGGGAACGTGCCGGACTGCGCCTTCTGGATGTATGATATGGGCAGTGAGAAAGGTGAGCTTGGATGGCTGGATACCATAATGGGACGGTTGGGGCATGACGTGGTGGCGTGCCGGACTGCGCCTTCTGGATGTATGATATGGGCAGTGAGAAAGGCGAGGCTTTGCTCATTGCACGGTCTGTGAGAGAGATTGGGGGTCTTGTGCTGTTCTGTGTGGTGTGTGCATATGAGGTGGTTCGAGTTGATCCAAGTGTGGAGCTCTGTGGGACACGTGCCTGACTGTGCTTTCTGGATGCGTGACATGGGCAGTGAGAAAGGTGAGAGGGTATAGTAATAGTACTGAGTGGTGTGTGCAGATGAGATGGTATGAGTTGTTACCAAGTGTGGCCCACTGTGGATAAAACAGGTGCCGAACTACGCCTTCTGGATGTGTGACATGCGCAGTGAGAAAGGTGAGGAGGTATAGTACTGTGTGGTGTGTGTGTATGTGGTAATTTGACTTGAACCAGATGTGGAGTGGAGCTCTATGGGTGGGACGCGTGCTGGATTGTGCCTTCTGGATGTGGGCAGTGCTTATGGGATTGCTCTATGGGAAAGTGCTGGACTGTGCCTTCTGGATGTATGGCCTTCTGGATGTGTGGCCTTCTGGGTGCATCATATCATGTATGACATGGGAAGTGCGGAGCAGAAGGTAAGAAGTGTGGTGTTAAGCGTATGGCTCTGAGGGATGCGTGCTGGACTGTGCCTTCTGGATGTGTGACATGGGCAGTGAGAAAGGTGAGGGGCGTATATCTATCGTGTGGTGTGTGCGTATGTGATGATTTTCCTTGAACCACATGTGGACTGTGCCTTCTGGATGTGTGCATATGTGATGATTTTCCTTGAACCACATGTGGACTGTGCCTTCTGGATGTATGGCCTTCTGGATGTGTGCGTATGTGATGATTTTCCTTGAACCACATGTGGACTGTGCCTTCTGGATGTATGGCCTTCTGGATGTGTGCATATGTGATGATTTTCCTTGAACCACATGTGGACTGTGCCTTCTGGATGTACGACATGGGTAGAGTGGGTGGGGAAGGTGAAGGGTGCAGTGGAAGCGCTGATGTTTAGGCTTCTTGAATGGGTGGCATATAGCGGGCGGGCAGTCGAGACGTGCTTCTGTGGCAGGCACGTGCCACTCTGCGTTTCGTGAAGAGGATGTTTTATTCTTTAGAATTTCTCAGAATCTAGAACACAGAATTCTCAAAAGTCGAGACGTGCTTCTGTGGCAGGCACGTGCCACTCTGCGTGTCGAAATCGTGAAGACTTGAAGGCGAGACGAATGGTGCTTGCTTGCCACACTGCTTTCAAGTCTTCCATTAGCTTCCCCTCAGTTTTGAGGCGCCTCAAAACTAGTCTTCCATTAGCTTCCCCTCAGTTTTGAGGCGCCTCAAAACTAGTCTTCCATTAGCTTCCCCTCAGTTTTGAGGCGCCTCAAAACTAGTCTTCCATTAGCTTCCCCTCAGTTTTGAGGTGCCTCAAAACTAGTCTTCCATTAGCTTCCCCTCAGTTTTGAGGCGCCTCAAAACTAGTCTTCCATTAGCTTCCCCTCAGTTTTGAGGCGCCTCAAAACTAGTCTTCCATTAGCTTCCCCTCAGTTTTGAGGCGCCTCAAAACTAGTCTTCCATTAGCTTCCCCTCTCATTCATCACCCATCAGCAGATGATTTTTGAGTCGACTCAAAAGTGTATAATCCGTGTGTAATGAGTCGATTTTTGAGTCGACCAAAAAATGGTGCTCGCTTGCTTGCCACACTGCTTTCAAGTCTTTCATTAGCTTCCCCTCAGCAGACTTGAAAGCAGTGTGGCAAGCAAGCACCATTCGTCCCCTCTCGTTCAGCACCCATCAGCAGATGAGAGCATGTGCGGGCAGCGGCTCGCTTCCCTCTCCTTTCAACCTTCCTTTGCTCCCCAACATTCCCAAGGCTACTGCAAGCTGTGGGCGGCAGATCAGAACCCATGCGAGCCCAGGGAGGGTGTTCCTGCGTTGGGCTGCCTGTCTTTCACAGCGGTGGCTGGTGCGCAACCGGTACCTGGTGGTGGGGTACTGCCCTAACCCTCGCCTTGCCTCCCTCCCCTATTCCCTAACCCCAAGGCTACTGCAAGCTGTGGGCAGCGGACCAAAACCCATGTGAGCCAAGAGAGTGGGTTCTATTGGGTCGGGCGGCGCACTTTGCGTGGCAGTGGCTAGTGCGCAACCGGTTGGTGGGGTACTGCCGCCACCGCTCCTATCCCACACCCTCCCTCCCTCCCTGCCTCCTTCTCTTCCAGGCTACTGCAAGCTGTGGGCGG